TGATGCAATTGTTGATAATTGAATTATTATTTAAATGTTGATTAACATGCTTATTTTATATTAATGACACGTTATATGATTTGCAAATTTAATCTTCCTAACATTTGCTCATAAATTAAATATGATTTGTATGCTTTGCGTATTTTTTTTTTCAACTGATGGGTAGTTCTCTTTTCTCTTTTATTTTAATTTTTTTTGTCGAATTTTTGTTTTAACGTCTATGTTTACTTTTTTGGGAATTTTAACGAAAAGCTCCCGGTATTGTTCATTTTAAAGAAAAATCATATTTTTACACTAAAAAATCAATCATGGTATTATTCACTTTACCATTTATTTTGTTTTTATCGTTAAAACTCAAAGTTTTCAAGTCATTTTCATTAGTTTTTCTTACTTTTTTTTCACATTTAGGGGATGTATCAATTAAGATTTTGAAGGTTTTTAAAAGAATTATAAATGCGTGAAGTTTGATGGAATTCTAATGGAGTTTCATAGGCTCAATATGAATTCATTCAAAATCTTAGGAGAGAAGCCTGTTTTCCTAAAACTTAAAATACACTATAAAATCTTTCTAAATTCATCAAAATTCTTAATTTTTAGAATACTTTAAAATCAATTCCTAATTGAATATCTGAATATGCACGAAGTTTTATGAATTACTTTAAAATTTTGATTCAATAACCATAAACTTTCATAAATTCATTTAAAATCTTGATTAAATACCCTTAAATTTATAATCTCTTATAAAATCTTTTAAACTCGGAACTAAATATAACTCCTGAAGTCTTTCCATTCATTATAATTACCTAAGTACCATTTCTAACATTTTTTTTCTTTCCGGGTAACAATTTTCACTCTCGAATTCTCCTTTCTCTTAAAACCATTTTCCTTTCCTTAGTATTTATGTAAATATTTGGTTACAACTTACAACAATTGCTTAAGCCATAGCTGTTGACTCTGATTCATTGCATATAAATACATAATTATAGAATCTAACAATAGGGGAAGTAAACATTTTCCAAAGCGTAATGTTATTCATATCATGTTTTTGTACCACATTTTTATATCATCTTAGATGACATTTAATGTAGACAACCATATCATTTGAATTAATCAAAATTTTAAATTTAGTTCATTATTTAATAAACTAATAATTAAGAAAAACTAGTTAATTAAATGATGATTGTGGTATACAAGGAGTCTTTCTCCTTCATTTCTTTGGGTTTTGCAAATTTTTCAAATGATGTGGCTGTTCACATCAGATGTTACTAAGTTGGTATATAAATATGATATGAATATCATTACTCTTTTCCCTAATTTAACATGTGCACATCCGCTGCCTAAAGAAAAATGAGGAATCAAATCTGAGGAAGTAGACACAGCAACGGAAGGCAAAGAAAAATTTATTAATTAATTGTGCATCGGAATATTGCTGTATTATTTATTATAATGTCTAAAAAAAATGAAATGATATATAACTCAACAAATCCAAGTGGGTGTTGAAAGGAAGGCATCCCACCAACAACTAGTAATTTGAAGTAATCAATCGATTCAGCGTCCTCATTACTCAGCCACTCATTTGAGCATTTCCAGAGTAAAAATATCTACATCAGCAATAATAATAAATAAAAAAAATAGCATTAGTGATTTTTAATTGAAATGCCAATTTCTATGTGGTATGATATGAATTGACAACAAAAATAGTTGCTGTCAAATTCGACAACAACTTCAAATATATTTTAAATAATTAATAAATGTTTTTGGGAACTGTTATTAGCAATAAAAAAATCTCATTTTGCACTCCTCACAAGTATATTTTTCTTTTTAATTATAAAAAGTTTAGACCAACTCCAATGGTTGGGCTAAAAGTCAAATTTTTTAGCCCGGAAAATTTAGCTTTTAGCCCAAAAACAGCTTTTCTGCTTCAATCGTTATGAGCTAAAATTTTAGCTCGGAATTATTAAAGAATGAACTTAGGCTATTTTTTTCTTAAATTAAATTAAAAAAAAATAAATATATAGACTATCGTAAATTAATTTTATGAACATTTTAGTCTAAAAATATTTAAATTCCGATAAATATTGAAAAATCACTAAATTTTCCACAAAACAAGCCTTCAACTTTCACCAATCTTTCAACCCCGGGCTAACTTCAACTTTCACCAATTTGGAAATGGAAAGAAATGGTAGAAAGATAAATTGGAAGAATTGTAGGAGAAAATTGAGTTTTGTGTGAATTTTTGAACAAATACATAGGTATTTATAGAGTTTTTGGGTGAATTTTGAGTTAAATAATTTTTTTAAATTATTTTAGCCATTAGATTTAAATTTGGGCCGTTAAATCTTTTTTTTTATCGTTAGATTTGATTATATTCGATTTCAGCTGTTGGATTCAATGTATTTTAAAATAACATATCCAACGGTCCTTAAACCCCAGCCATTGGATGTCAATTATAGCCGTTGGGATGATGATGTTGGCTGACAACCACCTGATTGCAGGGCCCACCCTTGTCTAGAAAGCATTGCAGGCCCAATGCGTGAGGCGCGTACGCGTGTGGGCGAGCCGAGAATGGCCGAAGTTCCAGCAAGTCCACTCGCATGAGGGGGGAATTTGGCCCAGCTTTGGCATTTGACTTTTAGCCCAAAGATTTGGCTTAGGTTGAAGTGGGTTTTGTTTTTTGTGTTGGGGGGGGGGTAGGAAATGGAGGGAAATTTGACATTTAGCCCATTGTTGGAGATGGTCTTAGAGTGCAAATGAGATTTTGGAGTGAAAATAACAATTCTCATGTTTTTTTTTTAATCATTTTTATTAAGAAAAACTAATGAAAAGAATTTCAAAATTTTGAATTTTCACCAAAAGTCATCTTATAATTTTAATTAAGGGGAGTTTTAACGAAAAGCCCACAATTCTATTTACTTTAACGAAAAACCACATTTTTATACTAAAAAGTCAATTTTGATACTATTCACTTTACCCTTTATTTTGTTCTTATCATTAAAACTCAAAGATTTCAAGTTATTTTCATTAATTTTCCTTTTATTTAATGATAAGGACAATAAAACGGAAAAAAAAAAAAAATTAATAGTAGTCTTCAAGCGCGTGGAAGAAGCATTTATCCTTGGCTCTCTCCTTGCTCTCGTTCCGCCGTTCGTCTGTCCCATCTCCTCCCGTTGCTCTCTTGCTCCAGTTGTCCTTCAGAAGAATCAGAACAAGATAGCTGAACATGTGAAGGGGGATCATGAACCACAAATCATCGAAGCGTCCCAGTATTGTTAAATTCAAAGAAGTCAGTGAGCATAACAATCCTAGATATATAAATGAAGAAGAAAGCTTGCTGTACGATGGTGTAAATAATCCATCCGTAAAGTATTAAAGCTCTGTCAATAAAAGTGGCAAGAAAGACTTCAGAGGTTCCAAATGCTTGTAGGCTTCTCGTTTGGAAGCAGCAACATGAATCTCTAATCATTTGGAAGCAGCAAAGAAAGACTTTAGAGGTCCCAAATGTGATTTTATAAACTCAAACATGAGTAATTAAAGTGTACACACAAATCATATATGTGAACTGATCTTGTTATGCTAACAAAAAAAAACAAGTGCTAAGAACATATGAGATTAGAATTATCTGGGTTCAGTTTTAGAAATAGTGTAGTGCCCGTGTTGAATTTTAGAAATAGTTGTAGTATTTGTGTTTAGTTTCGAAAATAATTAGTGTTTAATTTTCTGAAATAGTGTAATACCGTTCAGTTTAAAAAAAATATATATGTGATAGATGCGCAGGTATCAGCACGGCAAGTTTTTATTACTTTTTCTATTTTATTTTTATTATATTAAACTTTTGTCATTTTCATTAAAGTTTAAGTCTTTTTCATTAAATAAAATTATTAGATGATTTTTTTTGTTAAAATTTTTCATTAAAGTTTAAGTCTTTTTCACTTAATAAGGTTATAAGATACTTTTTATGAAAACTAATGAAAAGGACTTAAAAACTTTGAGTTTTAACGATAAAGACAAAATAAAAGGTAAAGTGAATAGTACCATGATTGACTTTTTAGTGTAAAAATATGATTTTTCATTAAAGTGAACGGTAACGGGAGCTTTTCGATAAAGTTCCCTATTTTTTTTGTTTTTGTTAAAATAAACTTTACTCAAGTCTTTATCATTAAAGCTCTCTTTTAATTAGTATCTTTTGTTTTGAAAATACTTATCACAATTATGAAAAGTAAATTTGTAATTAATAATAGTTTAAATTTAACATATCGTGTAGGAAACAAAATTTTAAAAAGATCAACGTGCCACATTTAGCCTTCAAATTTAAATTTTATGTTTAAAATTTGACATGTTCTTTAAAGATGAACTTAGTTGTTTGCTTCTTTTTCTCCAAATAATAAATAAATAGCATCACCCGGGAAGATCCCTCCTGCCCAAATTATATTCACCAAGGAAGGCTACATTGTAGCAAAGTCCCTAATCCATACCACTAAGTTTAATCTTTTCGTTAACTTCATCAATTTCATTATTAAGTTAAGCTTGGGGGGTTAAAATAGGAATTTCATTCACAAAATAAGAATTTTTTTTAAAGAGAAAGACTTGGTTCCTGAAGAAAACTCCTCCTTAAAATATCTCGTGACTTATTCACAAAACTTTATGCTTATGATCGAAATTCTTTAAGGATTGACTAAGTGATCTTAGTTTTAAAGGGTTTTTTGCCGATATGATATTTACATAATGATTTATAATATGAACAATTCTGATCATAAACACGAAAATTTTGTGAATACTGCCATGAAGTCAACTCATCTTTAACCTTAAGGAGCCAAGTAGTTCTCTTTTTAAAATAAATTAGTTTTGTTTCTGTGTGAAAAAGAGCACTATAGCCTTAAATTTGACGGAAAAGAAGGATTTGACGGAATGACCATTCATGCAACATATATTTAAGTTGGAGGATGAGAAAAACTAATATAAGAGCGACAAACACTAAATATCAAGTAAAGTTCAAGACCTTTGCTACCACGTACCCTTAACGGGAATCTCTTTTTTTATTGTTTTTATTTACCTTTCTTCTTGAATTCAAAGTCAAAACTTGTTGGGAACCAAAAGTAAATTCATGGAAAACCATCAACTGGGAGTCCTACAAAAGGAGGTCTGTCTTGTTCATGCCACTTTTTCACCGCCCTTTTGCACCTGTGGGCCTGTGGCTGCTGCTTCACTTCTCCATAAATTCTACCCCTTCGAAGTGGTACTCTTTCAATCATCCCTCGGGTAAGATTCTTGTCAAAACCATTTTCTTCCTTGAGCTTTTCATTTTCTGGGGAAAGAAAAGAAAGGAAAAGAAAGGAAAAGAAAATCATCTTCAGAAACTCTCTCTTTAACTTGATGTTTGCTTTGCCATGTTGCAGAGATACCCCTTTGATTGGAATCTTGGGAAAGTTGTGGTGCCTGGCGGTTCTCAATCATAGAAAGGTAGATTTTTATTTCCCTCAACTGAGACACCTTTTAAACCCTCTGAAGTAATCTTTGAGGATCTCTCTACATAATCTTCTTCTGAACCCGAGTTCGAATCTCCCTCTCCATAGTTTTGACTAGATTCAAATATCGCTCGCATAAAAAGTAATCTCTGTGTTTCCAAGTTGTATTCATTTTTTTGGTATTTCAATTTCTGTGGATAGGTAGGCAGGGAATAATAAGCAATGGACAATAGGTATGGCCTATTAAGGCAGTGCAGTGGAGTTTGGAGGGCCTTGAGAGATGGAGACTTTGAGGAAGAAGATGTTTGGGAGGTTCTAAAAGAGAGGAACAATGGTAAAGACATGGCTACTGGATCCAAAAGTTCCATGTTTCTGTAGCAAGGCACCTCCCAACTGCTGCAAGAATGATTCCAAAACCCAGCAGCCACAATTACGCCAGTGGCAGCAGCTGCAGCAGCAGCAATACTACCAATCATGAAGCCAAAATTGTGCAGCAATCAGCACCTGTCAACATTCCTGATTGGTCCAAGTTGTACGGTCAGAAACCAAACAAGGCCTCCAAGAATGTTTCTTGGCGAAAATATGAGGGCGGTGACGATGATGATGAAGGCAGGGATGATGGCGGCAGAGATAGCAGTGATGATTATGAGGTGGAGGAGGAGGAGGAGGAGGAGGAGGAGGAGTATGATCCAAAGGAACCCCCTCATGAGTTTATTGCTAGGAGGCTTGCAAGGAGTCAGATTTCTTCTTTTTCTGTTTGTGAAGGTGCAGGGAGGACCCTCAAAGGGAGGGATCTCAGCAAAGTGAGGAATGCTGTTTTATCAAAAACTGGATTTCTTGAGTCACTATGATGTTTTGTAGGCCTTCTTCTCTCATCCAATGCAAATTATGAAGGTCATGTTATCATTTTCGTGTCATTGTATAGGGTTTTTTTTTGTCAGATAATTTCATGTAGTTCATGTTTTAGGGGAGCAAGAAATCCAATTTAAGTTTGTAGAATTGTCACGGAATTCATCTCCCCTTTCCCATGTTATAATTTTCATGTCATTGTATAGGGTTTTTTTTTGTTAGATAATTTCATGTCGTTCAAGTTTTAGGGGAGCAAAAAAATCCAATTTAAGTTCGTAGAATTGTCATGGAATTCATCTCCCCTTTCCCCATGAATTTAATTGCACATAATTCCCATTTTTCATATGTTTTGACCATCATAATATGTCGTTTACTTATTCGTTGTATGTATGAATAGCGTCTCGTTTGTTTTCCCTCATTTATAGGCGGTTATTACTTGTGTATGAGTCATCATTGTAAGATGTCTACTCAGACTCCATTAGGAAATCTCGATTGGGCCAAAAGAAGACTATCATTGAATAACAATATAAAATTATGGTCAAAACACCATAAGCACAGCACCAAGTAGATAAAGAAATAACATGATATTACCGATTTACGTGTGTTCTGGTCGAGTAAAAATTGGACCATTGAAAGAGTTTCATTAATTTGCCAACAAATCATGAAATCACTATGTCAGAATTAAAATGATTATCCTGAGTATTATATCATAATGCTACTAACATTATCTTGTAAACTCTTTAGTTTCTCGTTCTCCCTTTATGAATGTGGCCAAAACTGGCTCAAATTATATAAACATTTTCGTGGTTTGGCCCATCTCATCTTTATTTAAGTAATAAGGTTAGGTTTTTCCAAAAAAATAAGAAGTAATAAGGTTAGGTGGGCAAAGACGTATTAGAATACTCCTTGTACACTGGCCACACTTAAAAAAGATTTCTCTTACTCCATAATTGCAACTTAAAATTTTCTCTTACTCCATAATTGCATGACATCAATATACATCAACCCTCTGTTTAGTGATAAAAAAGCCTAATTGGATTATTAGTTCCTGTGATAATGGGATAGTCGGAACATAGTTTATGTAGTAAAAAAATTACGACCCTTATGGTGAAATCTGTTATGATTTAGGTCTAAAATTAAAAGTTTTGCTAACTCTTCGTTAATTGTTGGCACGGGAACCACACATGTGAGGTTAACTTTATATTTTTAGCCTCACGTGTGAGACTCGCATGCTAACAATTAACGAAGAGTTGACGAAACTTTAATTTTGGACCCAAATCCTAACTAACTTCACCACACAAGTTTAGACCTAATTTTTTTACTACATAAGTTATCTTTTGACTACTTTATCACTACGAAGACTATTAATCTAATTAAGCCCTAAAAGAATTAATGTGCTGTCTTAGCACAGTAAATCCATTCTGTAATCTCTCCAAAGCAAGTTGCCTTCTACCCTTTGAATGCATCCAAATATTGTTACTCTATGTCCTTGGCTCCTAAAGTATATGGAGGAAGGACCTCACCACATATAAATCTGAGAATTGAAAGAGACCTGTTACCAAATTCATGGTATTAATTATTTAATTTAATCTAATTCTTTATTTTTCTTTTTGTTTTATTTCTTAAAAAAATGAATAAAAATGGTGCAATCTCTGACTGGTTAAGCTAGAAAACAAGTTTCAATGAGCTTTTTTAATCTCTCTGCTCTTAGTGTTAGTCTTGTTTTTTAACTGTTTAAACATCATACCTCTTTTTGGCATTTGGCCTATGACCAAGAGTTACATTTTGTCTCCTAAATTTAAAATCTCCACTCTTATTATATAAGCATGCCAACTGGTCACTTATTCTTAATTTATTGGGCAATGAGTGGTTGCACTTTATTGATAAAAAATATATTGCTTTCATTCTTTACAATATGGCAAATTCTGATGAGTAAATCATGATCATCTCAATGGTAGATTAGAAATGCTACGATCAATCGTACACCTGAGCGAGAATTGATTTTGGGTGTTTATATTTGTCATTTTCCCAACACATCCTAGCGTTATTCCTTTTACTATTATAATTCAACAATTGTGCAACACATCCTATCATTATACATTTTTTGAAACTTAACTTGAGCCTTACTTAATCCTCTTAAATTCAACTCTTGTCTCACTCCCAATTTTGCAAAAATAGTTAATAAGTTTGTCAAAACGTTTAAGTAGCACAAATGAGACCCATTGTTGTTGATTTGTGTCATATAAGTGCCATATGGTTAAACAATTAGTAAAAATAAGAATTTTCATTCAAAATTTTCATTTCAAAATAAGAAAAATGAAATTCCACAACATTTTTTAGGGACACATTCAAAAGGTTCAATTAGCGCCACCAAACTTGTAACGGATTTGTTAAAGAGTTTTGATAATAAGAGGGGAAGTGAGACGAGTTGAGTTTCAGATAATTAAACAAATTTTAAGTTTCAATAAATTAAATGAGACTTGAATTGAGTTTTAAAGAATGTTTAGGTAAACCTTTTGAAACTCCTATGTTATAATTTAGAACAACAGTAATTGAAATTACTTATTTTACTTTAAATAACAGCTCTACGGATGTCTGGGAGAGGAAAATAAGAATAATCATTTTGGACTCAACCCTAAATATTTGAGAGAAATAAACAAATAACGAAATAAATAAAGCTTTACAGGTCACTTGGAGAACAATATTTATAATATTTCATAGGACATTATATAAAAACAAACTTAGCAGCCATATATGGACTAGCAATAGGACTCTATCACATTCACATGCATGGCTCTAATGTTTAGTGCGATCTTCCCCCCTTTAATCCTCTTTAATCTATTACTTGTTGCCTGCACTTTACAGCACTGGTCTCTCGACATATTTGCTTATGTAAGGATAGGAAAAGTAACTTTCTTTTCTTAGGTCAAATCTTTGCTGATAAAGTATTTTTAAACACAATCGTTCATGCACATATAAAAAACGGAATCAGAAATTTGCTACTGTAACAGTATGATTGACATACTTATGGAATTAAAATATTAAAATATAGACAAGTTTGTGCCTTTACTTTTACTTTTTATAATTTATTATTGCATTCGTCAAACAACTTGACCACTTTGATTTAAAAAGATCAAAAGAAACGTAAGAAACATTGGGGCTGGATTGCATATTCACAAAAGATTAATGAATGACTATTTCAATGTCCTTATATGTTGTGGCTTTGCCACGATAGATACACGCGTACAATGAAATTATTATACGATTCATATCAGAAGAAACAATCTTCGTCTTTTTATATGTATCGACATCAAGAGTTTGAGACATGAAGAAAACAAGATATTGCATCAGCCTTGCCAAGCTTTTCTTCACTGGAAAATTTCTAATTCCTTGAGTGCCAAACTTCTCATTCCTTCATCATTTGTTTCCATCTCTTTTTCTTCAACTATTTAAAAATGCTTGTATCATTCTCACAAACTTCTCAACTTCTTTATTTGCTTCTCACTACAGCTACACACGCGTGTAGCACAAAAATGATCCGAACCGCTGTAGGCCGGATCCATTGACTTAACGGTTTAACCATAACTATGGGGCTGGACCTTGTCTTGGGCTAGATGGACGGACAGGTGGGCAGATGTACTCATGAATGGAACTAAGAAAGCTAACAGCATGCTTACGGTGCAAGGCAGCAGCTGCAGCAGCTTTATGGCTTGTTTACTTAGTAGCGGTGGGGTGGCCGCCTACGAGCTCAGCTCACACGTGGCCCGGCACAAGGCTGGCGCGGTGGTTGGCAGGGCGGCATGCATGGGCTCAAAGACTGAGAGCGGAGGCCTCACAATTTATAAGTACATGGCATACTCTGCCTACTTTGTCACTGAGTTTTGTGTGGCTCCTTTTGTTTCCGTGTCACCTAACCTGAGGGTGAGGGTGCATATCGTAGACCACTGAAATAAGAAGGAAAAAACATGGGTAAGAAGGGTTGTGTTTGTAATGAAATGAATGGTTGTGACATGTGACTGGTCAATCTAAACACAAAATGGATAATAATGTTAGAATAGGAATGTAAATATTGTAATTAATTCTATCGAGATTTCTTTTTATAATAAGTTTTCTGTATTAATTGTGACTAGGGTCGTAAAACCTATTCACATTTCCTTCAAGTGATGAGAAGAATAATAGTGCAGCATTCATGAATTCTAAGTTGGCATCACGAGCCTAGGTTAGAAATCAAAACGACAAAAAAAAAAAAAAAAAAAAAAAAAAGAGAGAAAAACAACTGCACATGAAGAAGAAGCCATTGTTCAATTGGCTTTTTTAATTGTGAAAAGAATAAAATTGAAGCATTCACGAATTTTAAATAATCATTATCTACTAGATAATTAGTGTGTGATATACTTTGATCGATATAGTCTCGAAGATTAGATGGACTGTTGCCTAACTCAAGTACGCTCCAATCTTTCATACTCGACTCCCAAGTTTGTAGTCATTCTCGTCGACCTATATCTCATCACTTCAATTTGGCTAACCTTTTGCAGAGATAATTCATCCTCAACGCTTATCATATCGCAATAGCGTTGCAATTACCAATTGAGAAGAATGGAAAGGGCAAAAGAGGAATGTAGAAATAGAAGGTACGTAGAACTTGTTCTTTTTTTTTTTTTTTGGATAAAGGAGATTCATTACCAAGAGAACACAATTACAGACAAAGGGGCGCAAATATACAGAAAATACAAAACAAAAAGTGAACCCCCAACACTAAACAAAAGCCCAACCCGAGAGAAAGCCCCAAAACAGAAAACACCACAAGACTAGCATCCTCCTCCGCCGTCGAAGAACCGGCCGTTGACCACAATCCAGTATCCCAGGCTAGAGATCACACCAAACACAGCCCCAAAGAAGAAGGCGCCAGCGTCCTCCACCGTACACCACACAAATCAAAACCGCAGCCACCAAAGGAAGAAGCTAGAGGGAAAGAACTTTCCCCCAGCAACAAAGCCGAAAACAGCATATAAGTGGAAGGTGGTGGTGGGTACACCATATGAGCCGAAGCTCTGCACACCTTCCTAGAAAACCGCACAACGCGGGTGGAAGAGATGGTTGCAGAATTGAACATGTGTGAGAATGATGTAGGACAGAAGCAAATGGAAAAGGTAGAAAATGGTTGGAGTAGAGTCATGGAGGTGGAAAAAAGTGAGAGAGAAGAAGAAAAAGGAAGGTTGGAAGTGGGACTGTCAGATCGAGACCGATGAAAGGTGAGATCGGAGGTCGTAGTGGGGGAATAACCAGAACAAATGGGCAGAAAAATCCGGAGAAAGCCAATCACACATAGAAGGGAAGAAGGAAGAGGAAGGAGGAAGAAAAGGAGAAGAAAACAGAAGAAGAAAAGGAAAAGAGGCAACCGACTCCAGCCGAAGCCAGAGTCGGCGCCGGAGTAGGAGGAAAAGCTGAAGACCCTCACTAAAAGGGAAAGGAAACTCTCACAGAGGAGAGAATGTCTCTCAGAGGGAGGTAGAGATCAGTTGGTGCCCCTCACGTAGAACTTGTCTTTGTCTTAGAGACATGCATCCAGGATTAGGACTTATGATTTATGAATCTAAACAAAAGTTCGAGGTTCCGATTAATCATTACGACCCTAGAACGAAGGTCACAACCCTACACAAACGCCCTCGCATAGTTGCAGGTACTGGCAATTCATTTGTTGGGGTCTGTTGATCTGTACAATCCATTATTTGAATCATGATGTTCTTTACACGTCCTCCACGTGTGCGTGCCATCTTCTGGTGTGTAATGGTAGTTGGGTTTTAGAACGTGAGATTATTTCGTATGCAATTAAATTTTAATCTCATTAGTGTTATTATTTAGTAATTATTTGTTACGAGTTTAAAAAGTATGCTATTTGTTTAGACATTGTCACGTATGATGACATAAAATAATTTACAACACAGTTTTAACCCAATTCAAATTTTGTTTCCATTGCTATGTGTACTGTGCCGACCTTTTCTTATATATGTTTTGTTAAGGTATACGCAATGTTCTTGTGATGTCAGGAAGTCCGAGGCTTAGACAATAAGCAATTTAATTGACCTGAAAAGTTTACTATTGCTAGTGTGCTTTAACTTAAAATGAGTAACTTCATTGAAAATTTATTTCTGTCTCGTGTCATCAACATATTAATAATATTAATCACCTACTTATTAAGAATAAACATATTTTTTTACTTTTCTCTATCATCATATGACATATTACGCAAGTCTTCTTCCTAATTGACTTATCACATAAACTAAGAGTAAAGACCTTTCCTACCAAAACGCTAACACAATTGAAAGAAATTTTCATAGGTCTCAACAGGGCTCTAAAGAATAAAATCCCCTTCCCCCTTTCTCCAAGAATAAATGCAGCCATCTCGAACCCTAGCCAAGCGAGACAGAGAAAAATATTGTACTCACTCGGTTTCATATAAGTTTTTCACGTCATTGGCAAACTTACTAATGTTTAACACCATTTAACTGCTCATGCACACAGACGTAAACTCATAGACCTTCTGTATCAGGCCAAAAAATGACTCAAGACTCTGAGTCTCAAATGGAATTGGTCTGCCATATTTTGAGGCAGAAATGCTTCCATAGATCATTGGTTAGGTAAGAAGTCGTATCAAAGTATGGAAAACCAAGCGTACAACTTGGGACATAAAATTGAATATGAAAGGTGTGTTAAGGTCAGTTACGTAATTTTGAGTCGGAAAACGCCATGGTTGTTGGGTCCTTTCTCCCACCTCCACCTTCTCTATAACTGCAATTTACAAACATAACACCCAGAAACCCACCGACAAAACCAGAACCTCCATTGTTTGAGCACTTGGAGGAGCCACTTGGGTGTTCCTTTTTTTTAAGGAACGTGGATTTCTGGATCTGAATTTTGGGTCAAACGAGTGCGTTGACTTCATTGACTTGGGATTGGTAAATGATTTAGCTTGATTGGTCGGATTTGAGAGAAGAATGTCTTGGAAGAGCAGAGAAGGAGAGGCATCGAAGAGTGCTTTTGTGTCTCGGAAATGGACCCTTTTGTTTTGCATTGGTTGCTTTTGTGCTGGGATGCTCTTCTCTGATAGGTAAATAATTTAAATTTCCACATATTTAAAGCTTCGATTTTTCTTTGAAATCCCAGAGAAAATGATTGGTTTGGTGAAGTGGGTAGCTCTCTTCCCCTTAAATTTGCTCAAAGATTTGGGATTTGGGATTATTTTTGTAATCTGGATGTGGAGTTTGGTGGGTTTTGAATTTGATGAGTGATGATGGATTTTTGAGCGTTTTCTGGGTTTTTGTAATTAATGCATCATTGCTGTATTTTTTTAATTGTTTAGTTAGTATCTTCAAAGTGGAGATTAATGATGATGACAGACTCGTTTAAAATTTAATTAGTGTTATTAACTGCTTCCTGGTTGAGTTCCCTTATTTTGTTGGCAGAATTGGTAAGTTTGTTGTGTCCCTTACAATGATGAGATTGGGATAGATCTGAATTTCATACAACAGATCCAATGCTTCAATTCAGACATCATTCTAGTAATCAGGTTTTGTCTTAATTGTTTTGTTCAAGAGATTAATCTGTTGTCCCTTCCTCCTTAAGTACTACGACATCACCTACTGCACCGCCCGCCCTCCTTCCCTAGTCCTTTTCTTTCCCTCCCCTTGCTTCTCATTGCCGGAAAACGTACTGATGGGGCGAGTCCTACATGAATTCTAAATTTAGGATATTGGTTTTTAACGTCGTTTATCTGCTTACTCTTCATATTCTGATTACTAAAATGTGCATACATTCCCATCAAAACATGTTATTACTTTGAACTTTACCAGAAGTGAATATGGCACGTTCATGCCAGAGTTTTTTTTTTAAATTCCACGCATGTGGTATACTGATAAAAAATAAATGAATTCTGCTAACAGAATGTGGTTAGTGCCTGAAATTGAAGACATATCGAGTACAACAAGGGTTGACGATGAAACACCGAAGTTAGGTTCTGGTTGTGATCCAACAATCGTAAGTACAATTTATCTAAACAGCCGGTTCTTTACCTTTTTGTTATTTGTTTATTCATCTTTACTTTTCTTTTTGTTTAAAAGGATGTAGAAAATGAACCAAAGGACGTTTACGGGGAAGTTTCAAAGACTCATCGTGCTATACAGTAAGCCATGCTGGAGCTCATCTCATTTTGTTGAAGTTGACTCGATGTTCTGTCTTATGACTTGTAAAATTTGCAGCATGCTGGATAAAAAAATTTCAAATTTGGAGATGGAATTAGCTGCTGCAAGGGCTGCGCAGGAATCTATTCTAAGTGGTTCACCAGTTGCAGAAAATTTAAAAATTCCTGAGACAAGAAAGAAAAGAAAATATTTGATGGTTGTAGGAATAAATACTGCTTTTAGCAGTCGAAAGCGCAGGGATTCAGTCCGTGCTACTTGGATGCCTCAAGGTTTTTTTTATCGATAACCTGCTTTCTTTATATTTTCTAACTATATGTGAATGCCTCTGACATTTCCTTTCTACTTTGTCTTCACTATATAGCCGATAAAAGAAAGAAGCTTGAGGAAGAAAAGGGCATTGTAGTTCGCTTTGTAATAGGTCACAGGTGGGTATTTGAACTCAAATATATTGGTTTTACTTTTGATTTGGTGTTTTAAGTTTTTACTGATATGAATTTCATGAAAGTGTCAGTCTTTCAGTAGAATATCGTGGAATTTGATTCTATCCCATTGGGATCTTTATCATGGGATAAACAACAATCTACTTGGAGCACTTTTTATTAGAAACATTTTGGAAATTATTTTGATAGAGTTCAATATTTTTTGTTCTCTGATTGTTTGGTGTCTTAGAATTGTGAATTTATTTTCCCCTCCCCTCCACCACCTGCATTATAATCCTACTCTCCATCATGTAAAGCAATAGTAATGCCAGACTACTGTCAGCTCCAATGTTTCTGTTATAGGTCCTTATATGCATACGTACGCATTTTATTTTGACTCCTGCATTTCTTAAACAAATAAAAACCTACATTTATTCTGTCTTTCAAAGTTAATGTTGTTCACATGATTTACCCTCGATTGTCTACGTTTTTATTTATCATACATAGTGACCTCAACGTTGAAATATTTTCCTTTTCTTAAACAAATAAAAACCTTTAACAAATAAAGCCTGATTTGTTTTTTCTTTTATCGATTGCTAGTGCTACATCAGGTGGTATCCTTGATAGAGCTATTGAAGCAGAGGAGAATAGGCATGGTGACATTATGCGGCTGGTAAAGCCTTTGTCTTTTCAGCTAGTTCAGTTAATCATTTTCATCTGGCAGAGGAACGCATATATTTGATGAAAAAGCTAATCAATTTTGTCTTCATATGAGGTATCTTCGTAATGTGTTGGTCTGAGAAAAAGCTAATCGATTTTGTCTTCATAAATTTGATGAAAGCAGGATCATGTTGAGGGCTACCTTGAATTGTCAGCGAAGACAAAAATATTTTTTGCCACTGCTGTTGCTTCATGGGATGCAGATTTCTATGTTAAAGTTGACGATGATGTACACGTAAATATAGGTATATAATCATCAGGCTTCTCTGTTCAAAATATGTCTTTTCAATGTTTACAAACTGGAAATTGGCTTTTCTAGAACTCATCTGAAATGGTGAAATCAGTCCTGTTTAAGGAGTCACTTGTGTTGGCATTTTTACTGGCACATTCTGATCTCCAGCTAGTGTGTAATAATTTTTGCTGTTATCATTCTCCCTTTTTTCTCTCAATGTTGATTTCATTCATCATATATAATTACAGGAACACTTGGAGCAACTTTAGCTAGGCATCGACCAAAGCCGAGGGTGTATATTGGTTGCATGAAATCTGGTCCCGTCCTTGCTCAAAAGTGAGCTGTGCACGCTTAATTTATTTCTTCCAGCTGGACATTTTTGGCAATCTCTCCCTTACCTTATTTTTTTTATTGACAGGGGAGTAAGGTATCATGAGCCCGAGTATTGGAAATTTGGCGAGGAAGGGAACAAGTATTTCCGTCATGCCACAGGCCAGCTCTATGCTATCTCAAAAGACTTGGCTACTTACATATCAATCAACCAGTATGTTTCTGTATTCTATATGGTAGAAGTCCTGCTGCTCAAATTATGTCTACCCTTTACTTATTTCTAATGTTATGCTAATCATCTAGGCATGTGCTACACAAGTATGTGAATGAGGATGTTTCTTTGGGATCGTGGTTCATTGGATTGGATGTGGAGCAGGTTGATGACCGGAGATTATGTTGTGGAACACCACCTGGTAATCTCATATCCATCTGTTTTTTCCCCCGCTTCTTTTTAACTTGCTTGGTCTTAATGAGGTTCCAATGGCAATAGTTTTGGAGACAAAAAGTTCGGGTGCCAAACATCTGCTTTATATGGTCGTGTTTATTTTTGTCACCTATAGTAAAAAAGTTGAATTATTTATTTTGGTTACACATTTTTAACTATGTAGCACGCCGGGAACCGGCATAGTTTGGTGGTCGTGACGTAAACTGGGTTACATGCTATTAGGCGTAGCTGTGTATGCCCCCATGGGGAGTTATCAGTCATTTTATTGTTCATTGAAATGTCAGATTAACTTTAACTTCCAGAGCATTTAGAATTGTTTCATGGTTTGATTACTGCCCCTTAATTGCTACACTTAATGTTTAGCTGATACCAGTTGCAATACACACCTGATCATGGTGACGAGTAGCTCATCTAAGATATCATGAGATCTTTGTTTGGATCCTGCGATTGTTTGAGCATTTCTTACCATGAGAGTTCACTTACATTTATGATGTATATTCTCATATGACTTACGTCTAAGACTTCAAGGTCGGGGTTGATGATGCGCGAAATAACGTGGGTGAGAGATGCCTGTTTTAATTCCTGTGGTGCTATTTCAATGTTACTAGTGTGGTTCAGTGTGTTTTGTGTGGGTTTACGCATTCATGCGTGATAACTTTTCATGTCCAGAATTGCAAAGAAAACACAATTGGAAGAAAGGTTATGATAGTTCAAGCCAGGAATAAATATTATCATGACATAGCGCATAGTTACAAGTTTAATGCTGTTAATTGTTACCACAGATTGTGAGTGGAAGGCTCAGGCAGGCAACGTCTGTGTTGCTTCATTCGATTGGAGTTGCAGTGGGATTTGCAAGTCTTCGGAGAGGATCAAGGAGGTCCACAGGCGCTGTGGAGAAGGTGAGAATGCTTTGTGGAATGCAGCTTTCTAATTGACAAAAAGTTCTTCCAAACTCGGGAGGAACATGTAAATGGCGTGAGCTTGTATCATAAAAATCCACACAGAGAAATTTTTTTTCAACACAACGATAGTAGCTGTCCTATTTCCTGGATTCTGCTCCATTTTAGACGAGGAGTGAGATACCCAATATCGAAACTTGAAAGAGGTGATAGATTGTCGTTAAAATCATTCTTTGATTGCTTCCGGGAACATTTGTATTGTAAGTCTTCCAATGTTAATGAAGTTCCAGAATAAGTGCCTGTTGGAATTTTTTCTATCTTTTTTTCATGTTGTAGAAGAAATGTTTATGATCTCTTTCCTTGGTGATGAAGCTTCAATGTGGCATCTCTGACCACTGACTAGTTGAGGGCCGGTTTGGTGTTGCTATGATTTGAAAAAAAACTGTATCTGCTGTGCTGTGAGAATAAGTAGCTGTGAAATAAAGTAACTAGAGTGTTTGATAATTTTTTTGTAAAAGTGCTTTCTTTTTTTTTTTAAAAAAAAAGGCAGTATTATAGTGTTTAAGAAACTTTTATATAAAACAGATGTGAAAAAAAGCTGGTTTTTCAAAGTTGGGTTTTGCAGCTTTGTGTTTTTGGCTTTTTTTCACCCAAAATTGTGAAAAAAAAGCTGAAGCTGAATGTTTACCAAACATAAAAAAGCTTCTAGCTTTTTTTGATAGTCATTTGTTTTAGAATCACCTCAGTACCAAACTAGGCTCAGTTGATGCGCTCATATGCAATTACATTCTGTACCAAATGCAACTCACCATATTTATATCCCATCCACCTCCCCCAGACTGCAGTGAATTTCAGTAGGTGAACCAAGTGAATTCAGTGACCAAAGGCATATTAACTTATTAAGTGACAAAACTCAACCATATTGGTCAGAGAAATGTTCCAAAAGTAAAAAAAATGTAGGAGAAGTCAATAAGTTATTATTAATTGAAACTTTCGTGAAATGAGTTTACTGTTTTCGTAGCGTTTTTTACCACTAATACAAGACTATATAACCTTGTATAATCACTTGGAATGCTACAGTGATTGTGAACACGTTACATATAAGTTCTTTTTCACCATCACTTGGAGCATTCTTGGTGGGAAATCATGTTTTCCACTGCAAAAGATAGTTAATAGAAAAAGGAAAAGAAGCAGAGAAGAGTTTAAAGATCAAACATGTCATGGTGAGATCATGTTTAGGGTGGATTTGTAGTTGTTGAAATGTCGAAAACAACGTTTTGTATCTACCTCTCTACTCACATAAACTATATACGATAAGATAGTAATACTCCATTACAAGGAAAGATGATGATCAAAATTGTTCTGCTGTCCACTTATAATTAGGGTTAACATTTTCTTGAAAAGCACAGCCAAATCTACTTTTAATCCGCCACGCCATCTGTTCTAGATATTCATCATAACGTCATGACATTATTTGCTGCGGCTGCACTGAAAAAGCAATGCCCCACTATCTTTCCTCTCTCCACTGACAAGGACACTATCCGCACCGAAAATTTGGAGCATTAGTTCCTAAAATTTGATTCAATTGGAGTTCTAGCTTTATCAAAAATAAAAAATAAAAAGTTAGTGAACGTTGGTCTTTGAAATTGTCACAACATGAAATATTAGTTGTTTTGAGTGATTATTAGAACTTCCGTTTTCTATTTGAAACCTTTCAGTTTGGACGAAAGTTTTAACCGCATTACTTAAAAGAATCTCTGCTTTACATTATGACAAGTTCATAAATGAATAGTCTCATATCTTTAATTCAAGAACTAAAGCTCTAATTTGTCACCCAAACATTTTATTTATTTATTTATTTAATACAAAAAAATCATAATAACAAGACCAATAAATCCACATTGATGATTTTTCCAAAACAAAGGGAAAGTAAAGTAATGGTACATTAGTCATATCTAACTTCTTCCTTAAATGTTTTGTATTTATTACCACATTACCATTTTAGTCTTAGTCTCACCAACATCTTCATCTCACTCTCCCACACACTCGTATAATATAAGACCAGCCAAGCCTGCCAAGGGTTTCATGTTGCTGCTGCTCTTGCATTTCCTGCAAACATGCTGCTGAAGCTCATAGACTCCTCCCTCAGGATCTCTGTAATTCCTCTCAGTATTGCAACCATTTGGCTCACTGTCACCAACCACCAAGACAACCCCAGCTATGGCAACCTAAAATTCTCCAATTTCACAGGCCTCAAGTAACAACTCCATTCATTTACTTGGATAATTACTGTTTCTGTTTTTTGATACAAGCGATACTGAAATCCGGGGATTCAAACTTAGGACTTCGGATGCATGAGTGAATGTTCTTAAACAACTAAGCTGGAAGCTCGTTGCGTTGATGTTTATATTTTTAAGTTATTGATTGACGTTTGAAGTGTCTTTGTATCTGCAGGTATATCGTTTTCATCAGTACCATTTCTGGTGTTTATGCTTTTCTTGCAGCTTTGTCCTCATGGATCAGATGCTTTGCGACTAAAGCTTGGCTTTTCTTTGTGTCTGACCAGGTTCATTTTCTTTTTCCTTTTGGCCCCATTCAATTTCTTTTCCTTTTCATTTGGCTTTTAGACAAAAAATAGGAGGTGTGTGTTTGACAATTGACAAACATGCATAGATAAAACCGGTTGCAAACGTTCAAGGAAAATAGAACTGGATAGACACTAAACAAACAAGTAACCCTAGTTTAGTGCCTTTTGTTGTCTGTTTAAAAATTTTTATTTGTGCTTATTTCTCTTGAAAGTTTTGGGAAAAGAAAAATAGATAACACCACAATAGAGTTTTTTAAAGATAAATTTGTGCTTGTTTCTTTTGGTTGTCTTGCTTTGTGTTGAAGGCATAATCATAATGTTTTAGCCCACTAATTAAGCACAATATTGGTTCTATATTTGATAAATGTATAATCTTTAGTTTTATTTTGAAATGCTAATAACAAGTTCACACGTTTCAAATTTGACCAAAAATGTCTCATCGATCATTTTGTGTAATATATTTCTTTCTTGTTTCAAATTTTGGGTGCAGATTGTAGCTTATCTAATGGTCACATCTGGGGCAGCGGTGATGGAGATAGTGTCTTTAGCTTACAAAGGGGACAGGACAGTCTCTTGGAGTGAAGCCTGCACTTCCTATGGGAAATTCTGCAGCAGAATGAAGGTGGCATTGGTTCTCCATGCCCTGGCTCTTTGCTGCTTTCTTGTATTGGCTGTGATCTCGGCTTATAGAGTGTTTAGCATGTTTGAGCCGCCTTCTATTTCTGAGAAGGAGGTGGAAGAAGAGAGGATTTAGATTCGAATCATTAGATGGGTTTTCTTTAAGTGGTTTTTGTTAATTAATTTAAAGGTCTTTTGTGGTATACATAAGTGACAATACGTCCTTAATTTTAAGTTTTATAAATTTTAAAATAGTGATTTTATAAAAATGTCCTTAGAGGCGAGGATGTTGGACTTTCGTTGACCGTTCGAAGTCACAATTAATGTTTTTGAATAGATCTTGAAGCTACGAACGGATAGGCGAAAGTTGTTTGCGAGTCCGCATTATAACGGTATAGTTACGGACGTTTGAAATTGTTTACTCAAATTTTAGTTTTAAACTAATTAAACTCCCACCATGTGGGAATTGTAACCAATCAAATTAAAAGGGAAATGACCAATCAGAAAATAGAGAGAGGGAGAGAGAGAGCCAATTAGGAGAAGAGAGAGTGTAGCCCTCTTCTTCCCGTCTACCCATTTGCGCGACCTCCCATTTTCCGTCGCCGATTCCAGCCAACTCTGGTGGAATTTTTCGACGCCACCACCACCCTCTTGAAGCTCTCACTAAACCCAACCAACAACCACCTTGATTAACCAATGGTGCTTTGGCCACCCTTTTCATTTTTCCGGTGAATCGGCAAAGCGATGGTCGAGACCACCACTTGGGTTTTGTAGCCCATCATCCCAGGAGTAAATCCCGACCAGCCTTGACCCCATTGGACCATCATAGGCGACGAATCGACTTCGGGAAGCTTTGGGCACCCACCAGCTTTATCGCGTGAAATTAACCATCTTCCGTCCACTTTTGGACTTCATGGCAGGTATAAAACTTGTTCCTCTTGTTGAGCTCTATCTTCTTGTAAATTTTGGCAGAATTTGGAGTTAGTCAAAAAGGTGGGTTTCTAGTCACCGGAAACTGGCGCATGGGTCAAGACCCGTCCTACCCATCCTAGGTTAATTTGGATGCCCTGATTCCATATTTGACACCTGATTGACGGAATTCCATTGTTTGAGTATAATTTCGTTAAGGTCTGCCACTTGAATATTATTGCAATCGACGATCCGACCGTTGGATCGTCACTAAACTTTAATACACTATAGTACGTAATATTTAAGGATCATAGGAACTTACGGATCGGGAATCTGACATACGAAGCTTCTTGAATTGGATTTGTAAGTTTGTAAAATAAAACGTGGACTGCCACTTGAATTGTGTTTGGCAGAGATCCGACCGTTGGATCGTTCCAAAACTTTAGGATGTTGTTCTAGGAGCTTATTGAAACTCTTGGGAAGTTATGGATCAAAAATCCGAGGTGCGGACCTTCCGGATCGAGTTACGTAGGGTTGTGGACCCTATCGTAGACCTTTGACCGATGGTTAACTTTGGGTTTCAAATCATTCTAGAACGTCCTTGGGGATGTGTTTTATGTAAGTTATGTGTTCTATCGGTAAGAATTCTGAGACATGATTTGATAATTGTTCTTGGCACCGATCGTTCATGATGTCTCGATATTTGTGCTAGGGAGTTGTAGCGCAGACCTCAGGTGAGTGGGTATTTTCCTTTTAATAGTATATGTATATATATATATATATATATATATATGATTGATAGTTTTCACAAATGCTTTTGAATTGATTCATGCACTTTATGCCATGATTAAATTATGTTATGAGAAATGTTGCACTGTTGTGAAATAACAAGATGATCCTACGGGATGCACATGTAAGTTCAGGTAAGTTTATTATGTTGATTGAAATTATTTCATCATTATGGCATGCTCATATTCATATAGTTCGCTCATCATTGCTACACCGGTGTTAATGCTCGCCCCAGGCCAGGGCCAATCCTTCACGTAATGTTCACCTTGCAACCCACACTCGTCTTGGATCCAAGTAGGTGCTAGTCTTGTCGTACATGTCACATTAGTCGACTTCGACTCGTAGGTGATGCGTATAGCGCTAGTCTTCACATGATCGTAACACTAGAGCATATATTATTACACCTAGTCCTGTCGTACATGTCATATTAGGTGACTCCTACTAATGTGTTATCATAGATGGATGAGCAATAGGTGCAGTCGTACATGTCACATTAGGTGACTCCAACTGCGTGCCAATATAGATTGTTGAGCACATGATTTTATTCATATTGCCGTTGAGATATTTTATTATGGCATATTTCTGGATTTATTGTCGGCATGCATTTGATTTCATACTTATACTTAGTATGGTTTTCGGGAAACTATACTTGTTTTACGGCGAGGGGTTACAATGTTTTCAGAAAGGTTTTTATAAAACTTTATTTACAGGCCCACTCACCCTTGTTTTTCGCCCCTTCAGGTTTTAGCAGCTGAACTGTCTTATTGACAAGGATTCTTGGCAAATCTCAGTACCTTTGAGGTATAATCCTTATTTTATTTTACTATACTTTACTTATGCTCTGACATCACGTGTGAAATGGGTTCATTCCTGCTCACAGCGCACTCTTGTATTTAGGCACTTTTAGTTTTAAATTTATTCACATTTTCCACATCGCTACACTTTATGGCTTCGTCACCTTCAGGTGTTGGCTAGCACAGCTCGATTCGAAGTCCTAGTGGACATTCCGGGTCGGTGTGTCACATATGATTCAGCTTTTAGTTAAACACGTATTTGATAATTAGATTGTGAAAAACACACTTGGAGGTTATATGTTTGGTGAAATGCTAATTGTTGTATGTTCAATCCAAGCTATTTCTCAGGAAAATTTTATTTCACTTGGTGATCACTTAGTCGTTGTTATGAATCAAACAAGTTGATGATTAATCATGAGGATATTATTGGTTAGAATAACTATAGATTTGTTCGATATATATAGATGACTAATTGGTCTCCAAGTTATATCAATTTTTATAGACATGATCTTTATATGAAGATAAAGAGAATGAATAACTTATATTATGAAGTTTGTACGATGAAATAATGTCACGTCGTCATGTCAGGAGGAATGATTATTTACATGTAAGGAACCAAGTATTTTTGTTAAGGTATGTTTGGTGAGGGATTTCCAAGTCCCAAAAGACTAAGACCAACTTCGTAAGGAATAGACCATAAACAATTAGCTCGAGAGGATTAGAAATGCTCTTCACGAGCATTACAAAGACATGTTGGATAGATTAATAAATAACACCTACTAGGTAGGAATTTGCAAATCCCTCTCAAATACTTTTGTAATACTCATAAAAGACATTTCTAATCCTCTTTATCTAACATTTTAGTCTGTTCCTTATTAATTTGGTCTCAATTCCTTAATATAGTGTTTGGATGAGGAAATTTAGAATTACTAAGGAATTCCAAAGCAATGGAAATAAAAAAAATATATATATATATTTTTTCCATAATTTGTAATTTTTCTTGTTTGGTTAACCTAAAAAAACAATGACATTTGAATATAGAATTTAATGTGTGTATAAGACTCATTAACATATAAACGAAAGATAACAGTTATGAAATGTACCAGTAGTGGAGGTGGCAACGAGGATACTGATGGTGGGTCGTGGCAGCGGCGGTGGTGGATGTGGCAACGGCAGGGATCATAAAGGCATGTGGTGGTGACGGCATCCGTGATGGTGATGATGATGCTTGTGCCACTCATGGTTGAGTTTTTTATTTTTTTATTTTTTTTTTAAATTTAATTTTTAGAAATTCTCACTTATAGAAATTTAGAAATAACACATATTAAATGTAATGTAAACTTGTGAATTAGAGGTTCTAAATTAAAAAAAATAAAAAATCATGCATAAATGTTAAATTCTATATTTATAAATCCAAACAAAAGAATTGATGTATGTCAATCTATAATAAGTATATTTTTTGCTTCTTGTTTTATAGTAGGTCGGATCTCATGTGTCCAGGTTAAAATAAAAGTTTAAGCCTATGTTTCCAACAGAAATCATCTTTTTTTTTTTTTTTTTTTAAAGAAAAAAAAAAGTGAAGGGCTTCTAAAAATGTAAAGCACTAAGCACACTACAGCCCAGTGCCCATCTCACCTACCACACGTCCACACCCAAACAAAAGCGCTTTTGAAACAGAATGAAGGTGGCACAGGTTCTCCATGCCCTGGCTCTTTGCTGCTTTCTTGTATTGGCTGTGATCTCAGCTTATAGGGTGTTTAGCATGTTTGAGCCACCTTCTGTTTCTGATAAGGAGGTGGAAGAAGAGAGGACTTAGATTCGAGTCATTAGATGGGTTTTCTTTGTGCTTTTTGTTAATTGATTTAGAGGTCTCTTGTGGTGTACATATGATTCAGCTTTTAATTAAACACATATTTGGTCATTGGATTGTGAAAAAACACACTTGGAGGTTATATGTTGGTGAAATGCTAATTGTTGTATGTTCAAACCAAGCTATTTCTCGGGAAAATTTTATTCGACTTGGTGATCATTCAGTGTAGTTATGAATCAATCAAGTCGATGCTTAATTATAAGGATATTATTGGTTACAATAACTGTAGATTTGTTCAATATATATGGATGACTAATTGGTCTCTAAGTTATATCAATTTTTGTAGACATGATCTTTATATGAAGATAAAGAGAATGGATGACTTATATAATGAAATTTGTACGATGAAATGATGTCATGTCGTCATGTCAAGAGGAATGACTCTTTACATGTAAGGAACCAAGTATTTTTGTTAAGGTATGTTTGGTGAGGGATTTCCAAGTCTCAAAAGACTAACGTCATCTTAGTAAGGAATAGCCCATAAAATATTAGATAGAGAGGATTAGAAATGCCCTAAAAGAACAATGAAATTTGAATACAGTATTTAATGTGTGTATAAGACTCATTAACATATAAATGAAAGATAACAGTTATGAAATATAATAGCAGTGGAGGTGGCGACGACGATAATGTTAGTGGGTGGTGGTAGCAGCAATGATAGTTGTGGCAATGACAGGGGCCATAACGGCATGTGGTGGTGACGGGATCCGCGATAGTGATGATGACGCTTGTGGCCACTCATGATTGAGGTTTTTTTGTATTTTTTATTTTGAAATTCTCACTAACATATTAAATGTTATGTGAACTTATGAATTAGTGGTCCTAAATTCTAAAAAAAAATTCCATGCAAAAATGTTAAATTCTATATTTATAAATCCAAAGAAACGAATTGATGTATGTCAAATATATAATAAGTTTATTTTTCTCTTCTTGTTTTAAAGTAGGTCGGATCTCACATGTCCAGATTAAAATAAAAGTTTAAGCCTATGCTTCTAACAGAAATCATCTGTTTTTTTTCAAAACAAAAAAAGTGAAGGACTTTTTAAAATGTACAGCACTTAAGCGCACTAGCGCCCAGTGCCCATCTCACCTACCACACCCAAACAAAAGCGCTTTTGAAACAAAAGCACTTATGTCCAAGAACTTGGAAGGATGGGAACAGAAGGTCTTAAGGAGCAAGTCAATTCCAATCCGTAATTTCGGTCAAAGGAAACTTGGGCCACTACGGTGTAGCCCAGTTCAAATGGAACTCAACCATTTTGATCCTGGGCCGCAGGGCGATGTCGGTGAAGGTGGTTGTGGAGTCACGATCTGTTTCTTTTGAGTATTATCATCTCACTTTCCCAATTCACAAAGCTTCTCTCTCCTCTCCACTTTCTCTCTCTCTCTCTCTCTCTCCTTCCTTCTCTCCTTCCCAAATTTTGTTCCTTTCTCATTCAGATCTTCTGGTAAGAAGCTTATATTAAAAAAGGCGCTTTGGTTGTGATTTTTATTATTACCCTCGTTTTGGATCTGAAACCCTAATTTGGTTCTTTTTTTTTTTTTTTTTTTTTTTTGGTGGTTGACCGTAACTCAAGAAGTGCTATAGAAACAGTCAAACCTAATCCTCCATGGCCAAAAGCTCCTTCAAGCTCGAACACCCGCTCGGTTCTCTCTCTCTCTCTCTCTCTCTCTCTCTCTCTCTCTCCACACACACACACACAAACAAGTACTGATGTTATGTGCAGTGATGTGATTGTGATTGAGCTTGATTGAGTGACCCTGAATTTTGTTGATCGATATGTATCTTGCAATTTCCCCAAGAGGAACCATTAATTGAAAATTTGTGTTCTTTATTCAATTAGGTTAAAAAAAAACTCTTTGATTTGGGGTTTATGTGAAATTTAGTTATTTTCCCCAATTCTTGGTCCTTCCTGTGTATAATCATTAGTTATATGATCTGGGTTACTGGTGTTTTAAGATTTAGTTGAGATGGTACGAATATTACCTTTGGTTATGTGATTAAATTGCCGTAGGCCTTTCTATTTTGAGTGTGAATCTGTAAATTATACTTGTGTGACGTTCCTTTGTCATAAATTTATTCAATTAGTTGTAGGGTGAGTATGCATGAAAAGTGAGAATTTTGAGCAGGTGAAAACGAATGGTTATTGGAGTCTGGGAACGAAAATGTAAGCGTATGAAGTAACAAACCACGCAGAGTGTCGCTTGCTTAGCTATTTATCTTTGGATGCTTAGGAATGGTCATGGAACGACAGCATCAAACTGTCTCGTTCTGCAAGTTATTCATTTGTTTGTTACGTTTTCATTTTATCTTCATTTTGGTACCAGAAAGGCGGCAGGCAGAAGCTGCTCGGATCAGGGAGAAGTATCCTGACAGAATTCCGGTATGAATATTGAGTATCATTTCTAGTCCATCAAGAACCAGTGTTATCAATGCTGAAGGCAGTTAAAGCTAAGGCCTTGTAGAGCCTAAACACAATGTGATTGTCAAATTTAACTTCTTTCTCGAAAATTATCAAATTTAACTTCTGAAGATATTAATTAATACAAAAATCAGATCCAATTCCAAAAAGCTATTTTTAGCCTTGAACGTTACCAAAATAGCACATGCTTTTGTGATTGAGTTGTGCCTCTCTCAAGGAGCTTCATCAAGGGTCATAAGTTCTCCATGTAAAACTCATTTAGCTCTGGACTTGAACTGCTGTGCCTTGTAAATAATCACACTCTTAAGATCCTTTTTCCTGTGATTTATGTCGTATGCGGTTCTTATTTAATTATGTAACATTTGTATTCTTCTCTAATTGTGTGTGTGTGTGTGTGTGTGTGTGTAGGTTATTGTGGAGAAGGCTGAAAGAAGTGATATACCAGACATTGACAAGAAAAAGTCAGTCTCTGTTTATATTTCATAGTCTCTCTATACTTTGTCTGTTCTTGATTGTGTTTTTTCCTGTTATTTGAATAACTCTGTGAGGCTTGCTTGATTGTGTTATGCAATTTTCCATAAGGTTTTCAATTGCACACACTTCTTTGGTAAGGTCAAGGCTTCATACTCACTTTCTTACGTGTGGTGTACTTCCTAGCATTCTGCAACGTTTAGAAGGTTGTCATTTTGAAGTACATAAGTGTATGTGTTTGTGTGCCTTGCTTTCAGGCACCCTGCAATTTTTCAGAATGTTATTGTTTCGAAAACATCTGTCTTTTAACACTTGGGACTGTGTGGACATACTTTTGTAAATTCATTATGTCATAAGAATACACGTCTGTGCACTTGTATGTGTTGAGTATATGTATTTACAGTTGGTTTATCTTCAGTTACTGATGTGACCAAACTGAGAAGTTATAATCTTTATATTATTTTGTGTGGCTGCTGAGATTTTCTTTCATTCTGTGTGAGATTCCTGTAGACCACCGGCAATGCATCGTTGATCTTAAACTTAACCGTACATACCATTCCTTGCCCTCACAGATTCTCGCCTGATAGCTTGATAATAATTTTTTCCCGAGTTATACCGTACGGTTAAAGTAGTTAATGGGAAAATGAGTTAAAATCATAATGCTAGCAATATGATTAAGAAGAACTACGCTTAATTGAAGCTGAAATATTGTTAACTTGATTTGTATTCTTTCACTATCTGTAAAACATTCTTTGTAATTTTCGTCATCTCATTGAATTGGTTATTTGTAATGGTCAAATGATGGAAACAGGTATCTGGTTCCTGCTGATTTGACTGTTGGGCAGTTTGTTTATGTGGTCCGGAAGAGGATTAAGCTCAGTGCCGAGAAGGCCATATTTATATTTGTGAAGAACATTTTGCCACCCACTGGTGAGAATAATACTCCAAAAATGTTTTATGTATACTGGAAATAACATGTCGGTCCCTATAACTGAACGCATATTTGGGTTTCTGGTATTACAGCTGCTATGATGTCTGCTATCTACGAGGAAAACAAAGACGAAGATGGTTTCCTCTACATGACCTACAGCGGTGAAAACACATTCGGTTAATTCTGATGCTGTCAATTCTGCATTATGTAAATAAGACTTTTAAGAAGCATGAAAGGTATATATTCTTCTTGGATTTCAAATTCGGCTACTGCATACTGCGGCTCAAAGTAGCCCCAAATTTGTGGTTGCTTTTCGTATGATAACTATTAACTGTTGTTGAGTCTATGACTTTATTCTGGAAAATGTTATATGGTTAATCCTTCTATGAATTCAGCTAGTAAATTATCATCGTTTCAATTGTGTTTGATGATATGATTGACTTTTCTATTGAATTTTGTTTTGGATGCCGAAGGAAGCGATGGCACGAGTTGTTTTTCGTTCCGCCTATTTTGTGTTCAAAATTCTGTTGTAATGTTCATTGCTGAAACCCAGGGCTTTAGTTATTGTGTTGGAAGCTGACGGTTTAGAGAATTGAACAGAGTTGTTGAATGCTTTGAACCATCTGAGTTACGAGCCAGTTACTGATAGATGTTCAATATGTTCTTTTAAGTGCTTGAAAATTTTAAACATGCCGTAACGGCTGATTCTTCGAAGCGCAGCAATAACAAAGTTGAACTCGGAACTTGGAAGGCATCAGACCTTGCAAGTTGCCATGGCTCATTCTACCGCGATGTTTGCCATGTCTCAGCCTATTTCATTATAATTTTTATTTTGTGGAGTTGAGCTTTTTTTTGGCCACCTTGGACTCCTTTAGGTTGTCGTTATTCTGTACTAGTTTTTTCTTTTAATGAAATTTACTTTGATCGACAAAAAAATACTCTTAAAATTGTGAAAGAGAAATAATTAGAATACGATACGATTCCTTCAGAAGAGTTGATCAATGGGGTGGTTGAATTTTGTGAAGCTTGGGGATATTAGAAATTGGGTGGTTGGAAGATGTGGGGGCAAAGTTCCTGGAGGGTGGGCATTGGGTCACGACTCAAAACTCTCATTTATGACAACAGCTTATACGGTATATGAAGATATCTAGTCACGATAGCTTTCTCGCGCTTATAAATTAAACTATGTTTGAGTTTTGTCAATATATCTTATTTTATTAGTACGAAATGCCATGTAATAATTTACTTGTAATATATAAGTTGTTTTAATTTAAACGAAAAACTTAACAGACTTGCCAGGTGAGAAGAATAACATGTCTTAAAGACTAGGGTGACACAGACAAATTAAAAGTCTCGCAGACAATTCAAACGTGATAAATACATGAGAGAAGAGACATTGCGAGAGGAGCATGAGAAACATGTTGAGAATGATTACTTTACATATGGTGTATTTTTAAACGTCCACATATGGACAACATAAATTAGGTGACGTGGAATTGAGGTTCTACCATAAAAATCAATTGGCAATATGAGCCCATTCATATGGAAATCTCTTGGTTCAAACCCTTTGCTATTGGGTGGTAGATCTCTCTTCTTTACATTTATTACGACTCTTTCTTCACGAGTATTTTAATTGGAATAGTCTTATTGCTCCAAGAGTAACCCAATTTACTTATAAGTTCATGTAGAATTCCTCCTCTACATAACTTTAGCCAATAAGCTAACAACGTGTGGAGGTGCTCCCTGTGAGAGACCTTCCCTCTGGTTGAGGGTGATTCTCACCGTTTTGTGTGAGTGGTTCCCAATCGAGTCCCTTTTTGTTGTTGTCGATCCTAGCTACAGCTGGGATCAGTGGGTCTTCTTTTGTTTTTTTCTTCCTCTCTTTCTCTTCTTCCATCCGCTGTTTTCTTCCTTGGGTTTTTTTGGCTGATCTGCCTTCCTTTCTCCCCTCTACTGTCTCCCATCCATCTTCATCCAATTTCCGAGCTTCAGTCACCTTTGACCACGATTTGTTGCGGTGTTTTAAGTGGGTGTGTATCGATCTGGTGCTTCCACTGGGTTGGGTGTTCCTTGCACGGTCACCCTCTCTTTGTTGTCTGCCTTTGTTGGCAGTGTTGCTCGTGGACTCCCACGAGCTTCTTTCAGTTGGCTACAGGTTCTTGGTGGTCTGTAGCTATGTTTAGAGTGAAGCTTGGATTTGGTTGCAGGTATAGATGAGGCATGGTTTATTTTGGAGCAAGATTTTGGATGGATCGACACGCACAGCTGCTTTTTTGGTGGTTGCAGTGGCGGTGGTGGTGGATGATGCACGGAAGCAGAAGTTTCTGGGTTTTCTTTTGTTTTGGTCTGAACTTTTGGTTGGGCTACTGTTCTTTGTTTATGTGTTTTGTTTTTGAGCCTTTGTGTTATATATTTTGGCCCTTTGTGCTGTAATGTTTGTGGTTGAATATATGTTGCCTTTGTTCCCAAAAAAATAAAATAAAAAAATAAAAAATAAAAAATAAAAAAATCCCTCCTCTCATCATTATGATATTCATTATCAACACTCTACCATTCCGGTTATGCAGTTAAGAGAAAAAGGACAAAGTCGATCGGTGATATTTTAATATAAATAAACATTAGCAAAAACCAAGAGAGCCAATATATAAAGAGTTCATTTTCTGCATACTAGAAACACAATACAGAAAATTAAGATTGTTTAATACATGTGCTATCATATGAAATATATAAATACATATGACGTAAAAATCACGTCTTGAGAGTTTAGAACAAAGTTCTAAAAGGCGCTAGGCACTAATCGGGCGGTGGGCTGGGGCCTAGCGCCTAGGCGGCTAGGTGAGGCCTAGGCGGACTAAGCGGATTTAAGTAAATCTATTATATTTTGTGTAAATAAGTGTCTCTTTATACTTAAAATATACATAATTACATCATAAACTACAAAATAGAATGACATATATATTATGAAGTATTGGAACATAGTGAAAACATGGGGAACAAGCATGTAATGTCTGTTCATTTAAGTATTCAACAAGTCTTTTACAATTTATTGAAAAAAAAAATGTAAAATGAAAGTTATCTATTTTCTGTCTAAGTGAGTCGCAACCTAAACTGGTCTGGGCGGTCTAGGTGGGCTCCTCAGCAGGCTAAGTGCCCTTTCTTTATTTTCAAATGCCAGGCATAAATCGGGATGGTGGCCAGCAGCCTAGCGCCTAGGCGGCGCTATGCGGGGATTTTTAGAACAGTGGTTTAGAATAAAACATACTCAAAACTCATTACAAACACTCAAAACCAATTAGTAATAGGTGAGTCACTTAATACAATGGTGTTATATTTTGTTTTTTTTGAGAGATTTTAAACGTGAATATCATGAATAGCGAGTTCAGTACCAATTTATTTTTCTAATTATGGTTGTAATAAATAATATAATAATAATAATAATAATAACAATGTGCAAGACACCCAAGACTTGAGAGAGTTTGAGAGGAGATGAGACCAACACGTCTGTGGAAAACTATTTGTTTGAATTTTGAGGATGGCAATCAACCGTGTGCCGTGTGGTGTGTTGCTAAAATTAGATGAAGAGCCATCCAACATTGACCTAATTATTTATTTATTTATTATTTTTCATACCTAATTATATTAATTAGGACATGTAATATGTGCACAGAGGGACCAATACTATAATCTATTCATGTATATAAGTCCGTTAGTATGCATTCAGAAAATAAAGAGAGAACTTTATCAGTCTGTGTTGTTTAAATTTTAGCAGTCTTATCTGTATATTCAATGACTCTGCATTTTCTCCCAAACATCTTCAGCTGCTTTTCAGAAGCCTCTCACCGAAACAAACGTTACGTATGCAATGGCGATGTTTGTGTTCTCAGAAACAATAGATCGATGAAGAACAAGCGAAAACCGAGCATGAGGATTTCGTTCGCCCGCCTTTCTTTCAGAAGGTTAAAAGTTTATAGGCACAACAGCTCAAGCTAATCAGCATGGAATTGTGTTTACGTACCGTACAAGTACGGAGAGCCTCTAATGGCAAAAGGATTAATTTGTATGTCCAGGAAAACTTCTTGTCTCGTTTGTTTGAACCAGAAGAATCAGCTCAAGTACTTAACTGTTAAGTACTTTTATTTAGTTTCTAAGGATCTATGTCATCATTTTTTCCCCCAACTGTATGAATCATTATATTTATTTTTTCCGTTTTTCCTATTGTCGGCTTCTCGTTAGAGCTCCTCCAGCAACGCTCGAACTCCTTCCGGTGATTAAAATTCTAAAATATAATAACTTGGTTAATTTTTAAATTTCTTGTATAATTTATCATTCCATGCTCCAGCAATTCTGCATGTATTATCCATTTATTTCTGCCGTGAAATCGCACATGGCGGGTTTGGTTTTGCAGATTCAAGGTCAGGCAGTAGGAAATGAAAAGTCAGACTGATATCATGTGAATGTGTATGAACATCCCCCGACTTCTCATGCTGCAGAATTCTCAGCATGTTTCAATGCTATATATGAATGTGATGACTGTTTTAACTGTTAGATTTAATTTCCACAATTATTAATTTTTTATTTTGATGCTCAACTATATGAATTTTTAGTACGTTTGAATGTTATGTACCATTAAACAAAAATTGGTTTATTTAAAATACATTTTTCATAAAAAAAAAAAATAAATAAATAAGTGATCAAGTTTTATACGTAAACACTGTTTTAAAAAACGCACCCCGAGGTACGCCTAGTCAACTTTGGAGGTGGGGTGGGAGTAAAATCGCAACTGCCCAGTGGTAAGAGTAGGCGAAAACTTACCTAGACATGGTCGAGGCACGCCTTAGGGCATCTTGAGGTGCCCAAAATCCTTGCCTGAAATTTGCTGGCACCCCTTGAAATCAAAGGCTGGGCTTCTAAGGCTCTGCCCTCTGGTCTTTTTTTTTTCCTGCTGCAGTGATTGTCATCTGATTTTCTTTCTGTTGTAGTGGCTGCGTCTTCATGAAGAAGACAGCTGCAAAGAAGAAAAAGAAAGTTTTTTTTAAGACTTGACCCAAAATGACATTGTATAGATCAACCTTTTTTTTTTTTTTTTTTTTTTTTTTAATACTAGTATATGCCCACACACGAAATATGTGATATGTTTTACTTTTGTCTTTAAAATTGAAGGAGAGAGGGAAAAAGTGAGAGAAAATGTGTGAGCGGAGGGAGGGAGAGTGGTTTAAATTTTTTATTTATTTTTAAATTAAAGATCTTAAAATCAAATTCCCAATCCCCAATTCCATATTTCAATTTTACCACAATCTCATACTTCTATTTGTTTCAAAATTCTCCACACCCCCACAATTTGTTTCAAAATTCACGTAAGTTTTTTAGTATTCTAATATCAATTTGGTCTTGATTGCTTGTTTAATTGTTGATTAATTTGTTCTATAAAGTATTATATTATACATACAATTACATGTATAATATATATTAAAAAATCTAAATTCCGTGAGGCTTTGCTTCACGCCTCAAGACTTTTACCTAGATAGAACTACCCATAAAACACCTTACTTATGCCTTTACCTTTTAAAATATTGATGTAAACACTACGTAGTGTTCAAAAAATAATGTGGACTAAAATGTCTGCATGTCGGCATAGAAAATAATATGTTTCTCCATCTTTTTGTCCTCGTCAATATCTCAGTATTTGTTTTGGTCAAACGACTATGACTCTGTTCATAACATAGCTCAAGCAAAATCAAAAGAAACTGCATATGTTGAAACGTGAAGGGAGTGTCTATTCACACTTCCACGAAATCTCTTTCTATCCAACAACTTCTTCTCATTTAAACATAATTTTAGAATTTTAATTCCAAATCAAATTGGGGATCAATCACCCTTAATGGCCGAGCACAATTAAGCACATCGAGATATAACTAAATTAAATTCGTACTCTTTGATTTTGAGATTGGATTGTGACTAATTATAGATTTGGATTATCATGTAATGTTTTTTTTTAGTACAACGATATATTTTACACTAGAAGGAGAGGGAAATTCGGTTAAGTTACATAATGGACAATCTAATTTGGTATCGAATTCACCATCCACGAGATTCAAATCTCAGACCTCTCACTTATAAATAAAGAGGAATATTACCAAACCGTAGTACTGAGTAATGGATTATCATGTAATGCTTAAAGTAGAAGATTTTCGAGTTTTTTATGAGAAAATCATGGCTTGTCGCGCAAAATGTTTGTCACTGGCATGCTGAATGTTCTTGCCGTTCAGTAGAGAGTTGTTGGACCTTCTTCTTGAAGTTTGTTGGGGATTTGTCGAATCTCTACCGAAATTTTATTTCGGGTAGGTACTACCGAATCTTTCTCAAAACCTCAAAAGATTTTATAACTGCGATAAGATGTGTAGTACTTGAAAAATAAGTTGGCATACCTCATTTGGAACTCCCCAAACGACTTATTGGTCTTTCCTTCGAAATTTTGTATTAATATATATGTAAGGTGAAAGCGATGAAGGTGTACTGGTTCGGTACTGAGATGCTGTTATAAAAAGTGCGTATAAAAAAAAACTGATATTAAAAAGATGTTTGGTAAACACTTAAAAATAGTTTATTTTCACAGTTTTGAATGAAAAAAAAGCTGAATACATGAAACAGCAAAAATAAATTTATTCTCACATCACAACAAAAACAATTTTTTTTCAAAACATAGCAATACCAAATCAGCCCAAAGACTCTTGAAACCAAGATGCTCTCCCAGTGGCACCACCGATCGCAAAATTTCGTTAGTTTGCCGGTTGTGGAGAGAGATTATTGGCAGAACCCTTGACCGTGAACATAAAACAGAAACATTGAATTTTAGAGACAATAGTTCACATGTACATTATAAGCGTAGCAGTAGTATAAAGTGGAATTCTCAATGCAATTACATACGTAAAATGACTAAATTCTACATAAGTAATTCTACCCATCAACCTGTAACAATGTACAAGGCCTCAACCAGATATATAACAGCTCCTAAGCGATTTGATATAAATCTTCAAATGGATCCTCCTCCTGCCGAGACGAACACCTGCGTCGACAAGTCTGTATTCCTTATCTGGGCCAGAAAATGAAGTTCTGTTAAACCTATAGCTTCTTAAGTTTGAGCTGATCATATCAGGTCGAGCAAGCTAATCTAACCAGAGACAATCCTTCGTTACGTGTGGACAACTCCTTGTTGAAGTCAAAAATGGATAAACATCACCTCTAAAATCATTCTGTCATAACAAGATCCTTGGCATTCTCACACTGGATACAACCATGGCACCAGAGACATGAGGTGAATCCCTGAGACAGATGCCAGAAGCCAGAGACATCTCATCCTTTACTCTTTTGTTTAATTCGTCTGAATACGTATCTAGACTCAGAGTTGCAACGCCAAGTCTGGCTGCTGAGAGTCGGCCAGAAGACTAGAGGACTGTTTTACCGGAGACCCAGGGGACTGGAAACCAATATTTAAGTCTGGAGGAAGGCTTTCCCGTTTCTGTTTTGGTCTTGGCTGAGCATTTGGACTGAGACCCCGCCAAGGTGATTGCGCCTGAAATCTAGATAAGTCAGCTGATGGTAACTGAGGAAAAACTGTAGGTCGGCCTTGAAAATGTGCTTCATTTGCCATACGAACAGGTTGTTGTAAAAAGGTTGGAAATGAAAAACTGTTCTGAGTTTGAAATTGCGTTGGAAACTCTGCACGAACTCGTGAAATGTGTGACTGAAAATCCCTAGCTGGGTTGTATAATGAATCTGCAGATATCTGACTTTTGGGTTTAGTGAGATCCTCTGTAGGCTGATTAAATGCTCCAGCACCTATAGACATCCAAGCCCGGGCAGCAGCAGCTGCAGCATTGCCAGAATCATCTCTTCTTATTGATGGAACCGATGACCCAATAGGTTGAGTATCAACTGATAATTGACTTGACGATTTATGTTGCTTTTGACTTGACGATTTATGTTGCTTTTGATTCTTTTCTGCCAAGTTTTTCAAATACTGTACAGAGTCGCTACGACCCTGCACCTGTCCATGAGGAAAGAAAGCTGCTGTCCTATCCATTTGACTATGAGCACTATCAGATGGACTAATCCGGTTGTCCAGAGAAGCACTCACATTTTTCCCATTAGGCAACCCTCGGTTAACATTTCCATTAGAATCCGGCATCTTAAAAGGTGCAGGTTGTGGAAGATTCATGTTCCTTGATACTGTATCTCTGGGCCTAGAAGCTTCTGCCTCCGATTTTCTTGATGATTGCTTTTCTGCAACAAGATTGGCATTATTGTGATTGACTGAGGGTATAGAGTTCAACTCAACTTCCTTTTGAACCTTCTTCTCAGGCTCGACAAACCGGGATTGCAGTTTTTTCTGTGGCTTAACTGAGGGTATAGAGTTCAACTCAACTGCCTTTTGAACCTTCTTCTCAGGCTTGATAAACCGGGATTGCAGGTTTTTCTGTGGATGAACTGAGGGTATGGAGTTCAACTCAACTTCCTTTTGAACCTCCTTCTCAGGCTCAATAAACCGGGATTGCAGTTTATTCTGTGGATTAACTGAGGGAATAGAGTTCAACTCAACTGCCTTTTGAACCTTCTTCTCAGGCTCGATAGACCAGGATTGCAGGTTTTTCTGTGGATGTACTGAGGGTATGGAGTTCAACTCAACTTCCTTTTGAAACTTTTTCTCAGGTTCGATAAACCGGGATTGCAGTTTATTCTGTGGATTAACTGAGGGTCTAGAGTTCAACTCAACTGCATTTTGAACCTTCTTCTCGGGCTCAATAAACCGGGATTGCGGGTTTTTCTGTGGATGAACTGAGGGTATGGAGTTCGACTCAACTTCCTTTGAACCTTTTTCTCAGGCTCCCTAAACCGAGATTGCAGGTTTTTCTGTGGATTAACTGTGGAATTAGGTTTTGCTCCAACAGGACGGATCACGGTCGGTTTCCCTTCTGAGTAATGCCCCCTAGTAGTAGAACCAAGAAAAGATGGCCTCCCTCCTGAAGTAGGCACACTAACAGAGTGCTGTCTCTCTTTTGTAACAGGCCTGGTAACAGGGTGCTCCTTAGCAGGAACTGAAGTCCTAAAAGTTCTGTCATCCTTTCTCAATTCCGGGCATGAATAAAACTTTGAAGCCAAAGCAGATTGATTTTGGGTACTATTGTCAACCAGTAATACAGGGGTTGGAAGTGGCTCATATTCTCCAACCCAGCCACGGCCAAATTTACACCCATCAGGTAGTGCTTGTTCGATCCTCTTTGACGCAACTTTCCAAGCAACAGATCCAAGATTTCCACAAAACCGAGCAAGGCTCCTAGCGTATGAATATTCTGCATGAAGCCCAACCTGATTCGATATGGATAAATATTATTAAAATAAGTTAGTACAAAAGCCAACTAGTAGGGAAATAAAAGATTAAATGTGAAGACTAGATTCCTTGTTACATACTGCAACAAATTGCTTGATTTCACTGTCAAAGGTAGTAAATACAGATTCTAATCTGACCACGGGCTGAGTGGATATGTTGTAGGTTGCACGGCGGTTTTCATCAACCACGGATGGCTTCCTCCCAACTTTCGATAGGAGACCCTTCCCTAGAAAAAGTACAAGAATAAAATAATTAGAGGTGAATCCTCTCCTATGTTACAACATTATGACGACCAAGTTTTTTCAGATCCTTTTTGAGATAAGATAATGCGTGTCTATCAAAGGAGAGGGGAAAGAAGCCAACTTTGCTAATTAATCCACTATTTTAACAAGAACATTGAGATCCACATGTTCATTTTTGTGTCAAATCGTAATTCTACATTACCAAAAAGGAAAACAAACAGTTCTGTGCACCTGATGACATATCTTCTGGCTTCTCCACATTAGCTTCATTCAAAGAGGAATTACCCTCTACAGGTCCATCAATGTTGCTAGGTCTCTCACAACCACTACCTTGTGTTGGAAGGGAAGTGTTCTGGACATCTACAGCAGTGGCAAGAGTGGCACCTGAGGAGAAATCAGAGCCAATGGGTTCCTGTAATATTCGACACAAAGGCTTCTTTGTCTGTTTCTTGACCAAAGAATTGGACTTTGTTTTCTGCACTAATTTGAGCTCCTTTTCCGAGCGTTCATGTTCACTTCGCAGCCTATCAAATTTTCTCTTTGCCAGCTCTTGTATTGAACATGCCTTTCAAAAATATCACAAGACAGTGGTAAGAAACAAACAAGATAAACCAGAAGAAGACGACTTGAATAATAAGACAGCAAAAGCTAATTACCTGTTTATAGTATATCGTATCTGATGAATTGTATTCCATTGCATTTGAACATATTAAAAAGACATCACCCTGCAGCCAAGAGGAACAGATTACCAACAAGACACTTCTCTCCTCTTTTAACATAATTTCATGGAAATGAGCTAGAGTAAGAAGATTATTTAATTATTCATTCTAGAGAGAGAAAATGTGTGTTTAAGATAGAGAGAGAGAGAGACAGTAGTGTAAGAAAATTATTAAATTACAAGAATAGTCAATTTCAAATGTGAATTTATGCACTTTCATAGATTAAATCCTTCCATAAATTTCTTTAGTTCTCTTGAGAAAGTGTAGTCATCTTAGATTGTGTGTGAGAGAGAGAGAGAGAGGGAGAGAAGTGTTATCTTAGTTTGTACGAAAGATTTTGTACAACTCTTTGTACTTATAGCATCGACCTAATAGAATGGATATAATGATCAACATAAACCAAAAGCATGATGTGCCTGAAATCCGCAATGGGGTAGCAAAAGAGATGGTGTGACCCTAATTTTTCATCAAATTCTATCAAACATTGAAGCAAACATCAGCTATCACATTTGGCTCGAAACCCTGAGAGTGCTAAAGGTGAGATGTTTTACAGTGTCCCCCTCCCCACACCCCACCCCCCCCCCCCCAAAAAAAAAAAAAAAAAAAAGCTGTGTTGAACAGAAAGAAAAAAGGATATCAACATTTCTATCCTCAATTGCACATCCAAGGAAAAATCAGGCAAAATGCAATCCTATATTAGATTGAAGATACTGTGAAATTTTAGGCAAAATTTATTCCCAAGTAACACTGGTCTGACTCCACTTCCCCAGTCAATTGTGAAGTGTTATCACTAACAATTTGCACAGAATCCACATCCTGCGCCCTTAAAACTTAGGAGCTTTAAATCCAATATCCTCCATCTCTCTCGCCCTCCTTCTAACATATGCACAACACAGTTTGCCCAACTTGTTTTCAACTAGTATCTAAATTACTTTTTCAGTACTCCCTCTTTCACTTTGCTACCCAAATTCCCTGAACTAATTAACGAACACCACAATAGTATATACAGAGGTGATCACCGTAACAAAAAACTAAAAGGGAGGGAAAAGTTGAAGAAAAATTATTCTGCCCCCTCAGTCCCCACCCTTAACTTTAAGAAGATCCTATAATGTTGTCGGATATTGAGGAAAGTCATGCAGTGTTTCTACAACAAAGCCTATTTAATCCCCTGAAGATTAATGAGAGTACGTGGTTAGTAACATACGAGCACTCACCTCAAATTGTTCCAGGGTAGAATACAATCCGTTTGCTAACTGCTTTCTCACCGTGGCAAAGTCCATTGGACGCTCAATGATCTCGTGATAATCAGGAAGCTGCAACATTAAAACACCTTATGAAACTCTAACCCCTGAAATAGCGAAGAGCTCTGAACGAACACAGAACGATTTCATGGCGTAAAATTAACCGCACCTCTTCAGGATCAACTGGTTCTGCATATACACCGTAAGTATCTTTCCTGCCACAACGAGATGTGAGCGTCAGAAAAAAAAAAAAGCACTTAGCTTTGAAATTAGCAACATTTAACAACAGAGGGCAAATCCATACTTTTGAAGCTTGTCAAGAATCAACTCCAACGTTTTCTTATCCGGCAACGGAATCGCAGCATGAGGATCAGACGGCGTTCCTGAAACAAACCCAATAACAATTCAACAACCCCATATCAAATTCACAAATCAGAAACTCAGAACGAAAAACAAAAAACCAAAACCCATACATCCAATTCACCCAGAAACCCGAAAAATCGAAATGCAACGAACCAAAAACAAACCTGGAGGGGAATCAGGCCGCTTCGAGTCAGCTTTTCGACCCCGTTCCTGTCAAAATCCATAGGCGCCATGACAACCCCAAAGAAATAAATAAACAGTCCAACGAAATTAAAATGTAAAAGCAAGAAAGACTGCGGTTTAATGTGACAGAGACAAAGACATATAAGGCACAGCAGACAATGCGTACCTAGAGAGAGAGTGTGTGAGAGAGTGAGAGGGAGAGAGAGAGAGAGGAACGTGGGGAGAGCGTGATCAGATTCGTGTTGGTTTTTGACAGTTGACTCCGACCGTTATTATCAACAGACACAGAGAGAGAAAGAGAGAGTGTGTGTGTGTAAGAGTGAGAGAGAAGCTAGAGAGAGAGAGAGAGAGAGAGAGAGAGTGTGTGTGCAATATTGAAGTCTGGACCAATCAGAACACTACTTTGAGCTGGACTCGCGCGCACACAATCTCCCTCTCCCCATTTCAAAGGAGCTCTCCTTGTTTCATCATCAGATCCGTGCATTGGTGCTAAAACCCTATCTACAAACACATACCTCACAATCATCATCGCCGTCATCGTCGTCATCAATTCCGTCATCATCTTTATCGGAATCATCGCCGCCGTTAATCCGGCGCCTCTTCTGCTGCTTCCTCTCACTCTCGCCGTCCTCCTCATCCTCATCGCCGCCAGAATCATGCGCGTGGGAATCACGCGCCGAACAGGTTTCCGGCCTGGTCGAGCTTCATCACCAGCTTCACCTTCTTCTCTCTCCTCCTCTCGTCTTCTTCCTCGTCTTCCTCGTCCAAGTAGTCGTCGTAGTCTATGTTGTACTTAACATTTCTCCGCCGCAGGCTCCGCCGGACGTCCGACTCTTTCTTTGTCGGCTTCGCCGGCAGCTCGCCGGACCGGCGTGCCAGATCTGCCTTCGATGGCCTCCCCTTCTTCTTCCTCCTCACGATCTGACCCATCCCCCACTTTTTCTCTCTCTTACTCTCTCTCTAAAACCCTCACTCTATCTCTCTGTCTTTCTGTCTCTCTCTGTTTCTCTCTCTAAAAATACGCTCTGTTTCTCTCTCTATCTTTTGCTTTGCCTGCATTATTTTCGATGCCAGTGGCTTGGACTTTTCGAAATGTGAGGTCCGAGCCTGACTCCGAGCCTCAGGTTCGGGTGCTAGTAGGTCAATAAATCATTGATTACATTTTTTGCTAGTATTTGGCCGAAACGGCGTCAGTGGCTGAGGAAGACGGCGTTTGGTGCTGCCCGTTGCCCGGATTGGCCTTGCGTGCTACCCGCGATGCTTTATGTCAATTGTCACTTTGCCCTTTTCCTATCAATTACTGTTAGGTCGTCTTTGGCGCGAGATTCCACGCCCCGCGAACTCACCAAAGGAATTTAAACGTGTGTTTCCGACTTGAATTATGGCGAAGAAAAAAGGATTATATATTTTCAGAAATTAAAAAATGTTTCGAGTTGATAAGTTTATTTGATTGTGGTTACAGCAGAGTAAAACTCTTCATAATCACTACAAGCTTTGAAGGGATGGATAATCATGACTTAACGTTAGTTGTATCCTTTTTATTGAAAAAATAAAAAAATTTCTATAAATATAGTAAGTTAATGAAAAATGAATTGCATGATCTAAATTAGAGGATGAATTTACTGTTGAGTTTGTTTACTACAAGGAAATGTAAATTTGAATTACATTATTGCTAATCATTGTGAGATTAGCTTACTCTTCTGTCCCCTTAATATAAATAATATCGTTTGTTTAAAAAATGAAATAATTTGTGTATTCCTCTTTTTTGTCTTGTGGTATGACTAGATGACATAATCTAATTCACAATGCTAATTTATTTGTAAAATACCATGTTGGTGGACCAACGGTGTTAGAGGGATTATTTTCCCTCTCCCTTCAGGACCACGTAATTGGAGGAGTACAATGTCAAAACATGACATTAGTGCAAACAAATTGACATCGCACAATAAAACTCCTCCAACAGGAACTGGCGGTCTATTTTGCGATTCATGACGAAGCAAAATGTCATTGTAAGAAAGGAACTGTAAACATGAAGAACGGGCCAAATAAATACAAGAAAAGCTGAATAATAGGAATATGCAAGGAACACTTTGGATTACACTCCAATGAGTAAAGCCCATTTTGATAGGAAAAATAGGAAAATTATGGTCCGACGACAGTTGTTTACCTCCAACTATACTCTTACAATGACGGATGATGAAGATGATGATGATTATAGACTTTAAATTTAAGTTTTTGTAGTTTTTAAATTTAAGTTGTAGCAGTTATTAAATTAAAATAATAAATTATGTTTGGTCCTATGGCCTTATAGCTCCTCAGTTGAAGATGGCTTTTTGTCACAAGGCTATGTTTGGCCTATGGCCCTCTGGCCCCTCGGTTGGAGATGGTAAGAAATATGACCTGACACTATTCATTAAAAAATTAATTCTCTTAGAGGGCTATACAGCTAAAACAAGTCATCTGACCCTCATTCGGTTCGAAATGACATAATTTTCAAAATATCGAAAAGAATAAAAAAATATGAGCCACGTGGAAAAAGAAACCTTGCCGCAGCCCAATGTCCATTTTATCCTTAAACTAAAACGACGATTGAAATTTGATTTTCCCGCTCTTCTTATATGTAGTGCTTGGATGCATTAGTCATTTCATTATGGTTTTCCATTTGATGGGATCAAACGCTGCGATGTAATTTTATAACAATTCATATATCTGCTACGACTGATCAGACGGTGATGAGGTCTTATGGTGGGCCATAGGTTTAGACTGAAGAATAACAAATTAGTTGGTGTAGGCCGCCTGAAATTCAACCAGTTAGTACTATGTAACCACCTATGTAACGTGGTCCCACATAATTGAGAAATTATGAAGCTAATTTCTGCTATGGGCCCTCACAAGTTGTTGGATACGTATTTTATTTTGTTTTGTTAAAAATTTCAATGAGTGCTTTGTTCAACTGTTGACCGCCATGCTGATCACTACAATCTGAATTGCTTATGGTTAGATGAGTCTAAAAATTTATGTATTCATATGTGTTATGTATTTTGATGTGAGTTCAATTTTTGTTAATTTTTTATAATTAATTATTAGGTAAATTACATAAAACTACTTCAATTATTGGGTTATTAACAATTTCATACGTCGTTTTTAAAAAGTTTCAATGTCATACCGTATCTTCGAATTTGTTGCAATGTCATACCTTCCGTAAGTTGTCTGTCAATTCCTCCGTTAATTGCTGACGGCACACTTTCTATTAAAAAACTAATAAAATATTATTAAAAACTAAAAAAAATCATTTAATATTTTTTAATTATTATAATAATTAATTAATTAAAGAAAAGTTATTAAAAATTAAATTTAAAAAAAAAAAAAAAAAAAACCCACCCCATGTTCGTCTTCTCCCACCCCTACAACCCAGAAAGAAAGAAGAAGAAAAATAAATAAATACATAAAACCCATCTTCATCTTCCCCGACCCATTTTCCTGCAACCCACCCATTTCTTCCTCCTCCTCCGCACCCACCCTTGCACCCACTACCTGCAACCCAAAAAAAATAAAAAAAACCATATTCATCTTCCCTGATCTCCCTTTCCCTGTAACCCAGATCCTGTCTTTCGTTGATTCTGCTGGTGGAGAAAATGGGGGGAATGGGTGTGGATTTAAGGAGTGGGGTGTGTAGAGAAGGGAAGAGGGTGGGTGCGGAGGTGGAGGGAAGGGGAAGACAGGAGGGGAAGAAAGGGGTTCGTTGCAGGGAAGGGGGTCAGGGAAGATGAAGATGGGTTTCTTCTTCTTCTTCTTCTTCTTTCTTTCTTTCTTTCTTTCTGGGTTGCAGAGGGTGGGGAGGAGGGGAAGACGAACATGGGTGGGTTTTTTTTTTTCTTCATTATTTTAATATTTAAAAAATATTAAATGATTTTTTTTTTAGTTTTTAATAATATTTTATTAGTTTTTTAATAGAAAGTGTTCCACTTCAACATTTAACGAAGGAATTGACAGACAACTGAAGGAAGGTATGAAATTGTAACAAATTCGTAGATAAGGTATAACATTGAAACTTTTTAAAGACGAGGTATGAAACTGTTCATGACCAATAGTTGAGGTAGTTCTGTGTAATTTACCTTAATTATTTAACTCTAGTAACATTTATTGTGGATGCAAATTTCGTACACAGTTGATATGACGAAATTCTACCTACAAAAGAATAAACATTGTTACCTTAATTAACAAGCACCCTAAAAAAAAGGGGAAGGTGCACGCCAAAGAGCCTCTGATGCATAGTCAGAAAAGCAGTTTGAGAGAAAAAGAGAACTTAAAGAGAGTTTTGCGTAGTGAGTGGTGATTATCGTTCCTCTATTTAGCTTGAAACACTATCAGGTAGTTGGGAGAGGAGTGCATATCATACTCTTCAAAATCTTGTATGAATTGAACTTGTGAGATGAAAAGAGAGCTCAAATGTATTTCTCTGAATATTCTGTTTTACAATATGATTGACTTAACTAAATGAAAAGATTCGGAAAACCTATTTATACAATAGTTCAATGGTAGCTTATATCTAAAGCTAATGCTGACATGGCAATTGCCTTGTATGGCACATGTATATCCAATACCCCTCAATCTTAACTGGGGTACCCCATATTAAGATTGTGACAATGTCAAAGAAAATCAGTTCCATGTAAACCCTTTGTAAGTATATCTGCTATTTGGTCTTATGTAGGCACATACTGCACATCCATGTCTCCTTTTTGAACACGCTCTCGAACAAAGTGAAAATATGTTTCTAAATGCTTGATCCTTGAATGATGAATAAGATTCAAGCTCAAGCCAATGGCAAATTGATTGTCACATAGTAAAAGAGGTGGATTGGGAACAACAGCACATAAATCACTCAAAATCAACCAAATCCATGACATATCAACAACATGTGCAAGAGCTTTATATTCTACTTCAGTGGAACTACGAGAAACAGAACTTGGTTTCTTAGATTGCCATGAGATAGAATTGGCACCACGATAGGCCACATAAACTGTGATAGACTGTCTAGTATTAATATCTGCATCCCAATCAGAGTCACTATAACCTCTAATATCAATCTCATTCCCAGAAGTAAATGTCAATCCATTCTTCATTATGCCTTGTAAAAACCTGAGAATTCTTTTTACCAAACCAAGATGAACATCAGTATAGGCATTCATAAATTGGCACACGATGTTAACCGTAAATGCAATATCTGACCTTGTAAAGAAAACTGAACTAGAGATTAAGCAATAGAATACTGAAACTGAGAAAAATAATCCTGAAATGCATGGTTAGCATTGAGTGAAGGAGGGGGATGAGCACCTTGGTAAGCATAGTTACCCTTGTGTCTGCAATCAATGGCAATATGGCATCTCTTGCCACAAATATGACATTCTTGCACAACCTGAGTAGTTTCATTTATGTTTAGATAAGTCACTGCAGTATGCCTTTTCCTTGAACAAATCTGACATTCAGGAACTACATTTTGTTTACTAGAAGTGTTACATACCAGTAATTGCCAGATCTATTACCATTGAACTTAGGTTTATAACCATCATTACCTTTATCTTTGTAACCATTACCTCCAAAATTTTTACCAAATTGATTGCCATAATTATTTTCAGAAGAAGTACAGCCATTATTACAAAAAATATTGAGGTCCCTGATTGACAAAATGATTTAAAGGCCCATTAAAACCATTGGCATTAGTAGGAGGAAATTGTTGATAAGACTGAGAAGTTAAACTACCTAAATTAGGAGAATTAGGAGCAACAAGACTAAAGCCAAAGTTGGGTGGAAATGGCACAGAAGAACTAGAACCAGTGGAAGAACTAAATACCTGTGAAACTGACTAATATGCAGAATTAACACAAGAAGAAGATGGAACTAAACTATTAACGTACATATCGGTCATGCTTTGAACAAGAGAATGCATCCTAGTTCATATAGTATTTTCAACCCATAAGAGTTGAGCCCTGAATTCTTTCAATGAAATAGGTGTTTCTCTGGTTAATACCATAGTTCTAATCATATCAAAATCAATAAGCAAACCACTCAATGTAGCAATAACCAAATCAATATTTATGATCTTTTCACCAGCTGCAATGAGTTTGTCTTTAATTGTCTTTAGCCTCAACAAATACTTATCAACATTATCACTTCCTTTCTAAATAATGTGTAACTCAGCCTTTAAATGATTCACACTGGCACTAGAGACAAACATATACCTATCTTGCAAGGCAGTCCAAGATTCATGAGTAATTTTACAACCAACAACATATTCCATGGCATTATCACTCAAAGTGGCAATAAGAAGACTCAAAAGAGACATATCAGTTTTAACCCATGCTTTACATGTAGTACTAATTTCAGTGGCAACCCCCTATTCAGGACTAAGAACAAACTTGGGAAAACAATGAGACTCACCAGTAAAATGATCAAACAAAGCATAGCCATGAAAAACAGAGCAAAATTGAAAATTCCACTTGATGGCATTGTGGTCATTCAACTTAATAGTCAACATTCCCAAAAGATTTTCAAGTTTAACCGAGTCAGTCATCATGCTTGAGTAGAAATTGACACAACACAATGAGCAGAAAAACCTATATGTAAAATTGCAGAAAAATCTCCCAAATCGCAGAAACTAACAATAAGAATCTACAATCTTGATGAACAATTGGTTATCGACCTTAATTCGTCAACCATTATGAGAATAATTGGCATTGGCCTTCAAGATAACAATCAAATCTTCAACTAAAAACAAGATATGTAAGGCCATTTCCAACCGATCCGGCCAAAGGGTCATACGGTCGAAAATAGCCCAAAATGACACAAAAGTTGTTTCCAACCGAGGGCTAGGCCAAATGACTCGTGGGCTCCACTGGGCCAAAAAGGAGAAGAGGGCCAACCGGCTGGTCCAACCCAGCCAGCCTTGGGCGGGGCCAAACGTTTGAAACCAACGATTAGTTGCTGACGTTAGCTAGCCGTTCTATTTGAATTTTTATTTAAGTTTTTTTTTTAAATGCTATTTTTTTCCCTATAATTTCCAAAGCCATTAAACAACATTAAATAACATTAAGTAACATGAAACAATAGTAAACAACATTAAATAACATTAAGTAACATTAAATAACATCTACTTCATGCTTCTTTTGGCTCGCAACAAGATCCTATTGTAGGTACTTGTTTGTGGCACGAGAACGTATCATCTTATGGCGCCTCATGTACTCATTCAAAGAGATATTACCAGTTCTTGGATTCAAGGGCAAGTTAGGCTTATCATATATTTTTGCACAAGCCCTTCTTGACCTATTTGGATCTTCTTGGTCGTCATCAAACTCTCCATCAATATACCCATCTTGCTCATCTTCCACAATCATGTTGTGTAATATGATGTAAGACATCAGGATGAAGTCCAAAGTTTCTCAACTTCACCCCCTTGTTGGTTCCTTAATGATCTTCCACCGTGCTTGTAGAATACTGAAAGCTCTCTCAACATCTTTCCAGTATGCTTCATAGTGTAAGGTAAATCACTTTTCAGTGTCATTCGCAGGGTTTGCAATTACTTAGACAAGTGTCACCCACTTTGGGTAGATGTCATCTGCCAAGTAATACCCCATGTTGTATTGACGCCTGTTGACGTAGTAGTCAAGTTGAGGTGATTTACCCTCCGCTAGGTTATTGAAGAGGGGTGAACAACCAAGAACTGTAATATCATTTTGGGATCCTGGGACTCCAAATGAAGCATGTCAGATCCATGTGTCAAATGATGCAACCGCTTCTAACACAATTGTTGGCTTTCTCGATCTTCCGCTAAAGCCTCATTGCCATCAAATGGGACAATTCTTCCACTACCAATGGATGCAATCTAGTGACCCTATCATGCCCGAAAAGCTATGATCTTCAGCTTTGCGAAGGAGCTGCTCTAAATCTGCTTGATTTGGTTGACAAAGGTACTCCTCTTTGTAAAGCTGAACAACTGCTTCACAGAATTCAGCAAGAGTATCGAGGCATGTAGACTCAAACATACCATATGTATCATCCATCGCATCAGCTGGGGAAGCATAGGCCAGCATTCGGAGTGCAATAATAACCTTATGATGCGGTGAAAAACCAGGGTGGCCTGCTCGGTCCATTTTCTGTCGAAAGTATAAATTAACATGCTAGACATCATGAAGTACACACTAGAAGACATGACGCATCATCCGGAAGCGACGTCTGAAATCCTATTCGTTGTACATCAAGTTAGGGTTGAAATAGTTGTTCATCAGATTCTGATGCGCCATCTCTTTATTTTGTGGCTTGTAACCACGACCAGCAATAGAGCCACCCCATTGAGGTTGTTCTTAAGTTGCCTGATAAGCTATGACCCCAACCATGGTTGCCATATATGATGTATTGCACCATGCTTCATCTTCTTCATCGGACTCCTCATTTTCTCGCCTCATCTGCGCCCATTTATCTTCCAATTTGAAATTGCAAAGGGACCACCAATTGGAACCCGAAGAGGATCCAAAGTTGCAATTCATTGCAAACTTGAATTGAAAGAGATATTGGAGAGGGCAAAGCTGAAAGTGTGTGAATTATAGGCCAATATCCACCCTATTTATGGACATTGGAAGAAAATAAAAATCCTATAAAAAAATTCCCACAATCAATTACATCTCGCCACGTAGCACTCGAAATCCTATTTGAAAAATTATTGAGATTACATATCGACAAGAAATCTGAAGAGTTACTCACAAATAGATACATGACACTCGAAATCCGAGACGTAAAATTATTGAGACTCCTTATCGACAAGAAATCTGCACATGACACTCGAAATCCAAGATGTAAAATTATTGAGATTCCTTATCGACAAGAAATCTGCAAAGTTACACACACATCGACACACTGACACTCGAAATCTGAGACATAAAATTATTGAGATTCCATCTCAAAAAATTATTGGCAATCCATAACGTAAAATTATTGAGGTAGTTTAATTTATGTAACCATATTAATTCAATTAAAATAATAAATTATGTTTGGCTCTTGACCCTTTGGCCCCCTCGGTTGGAGATGGTTTTCTATCACAAGGCTATGTTTGCCCTATGGCCCTCTGACCCCTCGGTTGGAGATGGTAAGAAAAATGGCCTGACACTGTTCATTAAAATATTAATTTCTTGGAGGACTATAGGGCCAAAGAGAGCCCAACATAGAAATATGAGCAGAAAAACCTAGATATAAAATTGCAGAAAAATCTCCCAAATCGCAGAAATTAACAAGAAGAATCTACAATCGTGATGAACAATTGGTTATCGACCCTAATTCGTCAACCACTGTGAGAATAATTGGCATCGGCCTTCAAGATAACAATCAAAACTTCAACTAAAAGCAAGATATGTAATGATTCATCGAGGCATTGGCCTTTAACATAGATGGATCCAAGATTGTAAACAAACAATCGAAATTCGAAAAAAAAAAAAAATCCCAAATTTTCGCCACAACATAAATCTGAAATCGAAAGAGAGAATCAAGAAACTCTCACTGAACGGAGCAGCGGAAAGAACCATCCAAAATCAATCGTGCAAGCATATCTAGCTCATTATACCATCTTAACAATCTTGTATAAATTGAAGAACCTGCGACCCGGGAATTTTTAAGCGCATGGATCCTTATGAAGTCTTGGCACTTTGTTCTGAATTAAAAGATCATACCTCGCGGTGAACGCACTGAGGATATCTTCAAAAAGCTGTTGAAGGAGATTTGAAAGAAAACTTACAAGGTAGGAACAAAATCCAAGTTTGCTCAGTTATAGTAAGGGCAAAATGAATCATTAACCTAAAAACAATAAAGAACATAAAAGAGAAAACCTAACAAGGATGCAGAGACATATGATCGGAGAAAGTTAATACGATCTTATAGTAGGTATAGTTACTGGTTCTTTTCTTGGACGGATTGTTAGTTGAATATTGACTAGAAACAAATACACATTCGAATCAGGGCTTCTTTATTCAACTAGAATTACATGAGCAGAGTACACAAAAATTACAAATACACGAGCAATACCAAATGCTAAGGATTTTGCTTCATCTCTCTTTCTTCAATTCTTTTCTGGTAGTCTTCATTGTCTACCAACACCTACAGGGTTAACAACGAAGAGTGTTTCTGTAAGCTTGCGCCCATAAAAAAGAACATATCTTTGAGTTATGTAATGAAAGGAGGTTCAGGTCGCCTTTGCGGGTAACTCAAGTCATGTGAAAGTGTGACACAATGAGTTAGGATTATGATAGACTCAGATTTCAATTCTTTTCAATGTACATAGCAAAACGAAAGCATGACAGAATCAAATTATCAAAGAACATAGTTTTCATGTGGTTTTCTAGCTCCTTACCGTTTGAAAGCCATCTGTATCAAGGAATCGAGTGATTTTGGTGTCGATTTTTGGGATTGGACCTGGTGGTAATATTATTTCCCCTCCAACTTCCTTGATTACCAGTCTTACAGCTGCTGCGCTCTTGTACACATCATTAGTGCCAATAGCAACCTTCAAATACAATTTTTGAACAAAAAATAAAATTAGAACATAGAAATCAATGACCAGGGGCTTAATTTTTAATTGGAGTTACTCAACAAAACTCAAGACACAAGGGGAAAAAAGAGAAGAGAATGGGATTTAATCTCATTCGGGATGATGACTCTTAATCAAGAGAAATTCTTTAGTCCAGTTTTCAAATTATGGCCAAATAGAGAGAGGGAGTGAGACTACGGAGTTTGGTGGGCCTGAAAATCAGGAGGCGAGGCAAGTATGATTTTTGTGTTTGTAGAGTTAACGTGATCCAGTTTCTAGACACTAGAACTTGACAATTAGAATGAGATGTAATCACATATTATTGAAGACAGGTTCAAGATTTTGCTTCAAGCCATAAAGCAAGAAAGCAAGAAAATCCAAATTCCTTGGATTTTGAATTAGAGAGTCAAAGAGAGTCAAAGTCGACATGCTTTGCAATTTCTTTGACTGTGTTTTGAATGAAAGAAAAGTATACATGCATATGTAGCTCACCTGTGCATAACCATTTCCTCTTCTATATGCCGTCACATTATAATTGTATTTCAGCTCGATAACAACTGTTTGAGTAAGATTGGATCCGTACCCCACCATACCTACGGTATACTGCACCACACGATATAGTTAATATAACATTTGTTTTGCCTAGATTCTAAAGTATAAAAATAATTCCATCACAATACTGTAATTTAGTAGTTTTTTTCTGAACTTATATGTGAGACATAGGTTTGATGTCCTTGGTGACGAATTTGATATCAATTTATGGCTGATTTATTGTTTAACTTAGTCCAAATTTTCACTTTATATCAATTTATAATTGGTTCATAATGTGACTTAGTCTAAATTTTCGCCGAAAATATCGTTGTATAAAAGAAAGTATAAAAATGAACTATAGTGGTAAAATAAAAATATATATTTACCCGCTCTTGAGGTAAGTCAAACGTTTGTAGTAGGTTCATGCCCAAGGACTGCATGGCGTTTCAGCATAAAAATGCAATTGTGTAAGCATTCTGATGGTCATAGCTAAGATCAAATAAGGGCTTATTTATTTATGAGAAAGTACGCAAATAAACCTTGTTGTAGAACTCAATAGAGCGATCTAAATCAAGAACATTAAGACATATATGAGAAAGTGGTTGTGGAGTTGGCGGCCGCTGGAGGAGCTCGAAACTGTAGCCGTCGGGATCGTTCATGAAGGCGAAAACGGTTCCCTCTCCCCCATCTACGAGCGGCCCAGGTTCACGAGTGATCACACCACCACTAGCTCGAACTTTTTCAACGGTGTTGTAAATCTGAAGGTTGATTAATTCACAGAAACGAAAATGTTACCCAACGGTTAGTACTCCTCAAAAGCTTAAGCGAAAGTTTAATGAACAAAATGATACACACATCTTGGGTTGAAATTCCAAAATGACTAAAGGCTGTCCCAATGTCTAGCTTGTCCACTGCATTGTCTGTGAATTAAGATTGTATGAGTACATACATGCATAAAATATTAGGGTTTCTGCTCTCGAGTTCAATGCTTCCTTACCAGAAGATCAAATTACCAAATATATATTGAGCGATTAGACAAAGTTTTGGAGTGAAGAAATTAACATACGGTGGTCTGTGAGCCCTATGACAAACTGAGATTCTTCAGGTCCAAACCCAACGACTGCATTCGAGTATTTTTCTGCTGGGAAATTTTTTTTACTGAGTACTTTCATTCCAAAAAATTCTGTGTAAAACCTGACAATTAATATTATGAGAAAAAAAAATAATTAATTATATATTAAACAAGCGTAAACTAAAACAAATTTGCATGCATGCAAGAATATACTTTGCCAAGGTAAATACGTACTTAATGGTGCGATCGAGATCACCGATTCGGATATTGGCACGGAGGAAACTATGATTATCTTTTTGTATCCATTCTAACACATCATCATGGGCTACCGCCCGAGCTGCAAACTGAACCGTATATTATATATACACAGTTTCACATGTACACAGCAAGTCAATTCAAATAATTTAATTTTTGAATATTGTAGATATCAGTATTTTGAGAAAATGGGAGGAATGATCTCTGAACTATGATCTAATTGTAGTTTTGGTCCCTAAATTAAAAATTCATTAAACATGATAAAATGTGGAGGAATAGTCCTTCGTTACCAATTCCGTTAAATTTTAGTTAAAAGTGTTTAATCGTTAGTGAAAAGTGTTTGCAACAGAAAGTGCAGGCCTACCTCATCCCACCGACCCTCGTAGCCCACCCTTCGCCTTCAATCTTTGATACAGTACTCCCCACCAACCTCCCACTTCCAACCCCCAATCGCTAATGCCCACTCCCCGGCGGGCACCAATCTGTAGCCGACGGACCCGAACCCCAAACCCCGAACCCGCATCCCACAAAATTCTTGAATCTTGCCTGTCGAGACAGCGTGGACATATGTCATTGTGAATTCGTTTGCAAAGGGAGATCCGGAGAAGTGTTCCGAATTTGGATTAGAAACTTTCTTTTGTTTTGGTTGTTGGGAGAGTGTTACAACGGTGTGGCTGGGGTTTGGAGGAGGGTGAGGCGGAAGGGAAGATGGGGGAGAGAGAGAGAGAGAGAGAGAGAGAGAGTTAATAGAAAATATGAAGCCCACAAAGACCACATCATTAAATTAACAGAAAATCTCACAGAGTTAGCATAGAGGGACCAATGCTTCACATTTTGTTAAATTCAGGGACCAATTCTAATGAACTTCTAGTTTAAAGACCAAAGTTACAATTCAATCATAGTTCAGGAACCATTTTTCTAATTTCCTCCATTATTTTTATAGAACGCAGCAGAATAGAATTTTAAACAAACAATAATATCGACATTCGTCAAGCCTATTCGACTAAAAGTACGCCACAAGATTAACGACTCTAATTAGAAGACGATTATGAAAAATCTGGATAATTAAGTTGCTTAGTCACAAAAAACTAGAAAAAAAAAAATGTAAATGATGATCTTGACATTGTACATTTTACAAACAAAGATACAAGTTAGGTCATAAACACAGAGAGCTTACCAAACAGAGGAACAAAAGAATAGCACAGACCAACTGCTCGTACTTGATCACCATCTTCGTATTCATATTTTTCTGGACGCTGAGGAAAATGTTAGAATTAATGTAAGAGGATGATAGTTACAAAACTTGTATAGATTCTGATATGTTCTTGTCCTCTATATATAAACTCATGGGTTTTTCTGACTTTTCATCGATTGCAAAATGGGTAGACCATATTGCATATAAATAATCCTCGGCCGTCGATATCGTGGCTATGTATATAATTCTAACTTGGCCAAATTATGAAACTTTATATAAAGTTGAGCGGTTCTTTCGTCCCCTCTGACTTGGCTAGATATTTGTCTCTAGGTTGATCTCAATTCATGTTGGACGGTTAGTTATTTACTCTTTAAGAAAATGGATCTTTATTTTTTTTCTAAAATAGGTATTAATTGCGAGACTCACTCTATATCGAATTTCAATGAGTTGAACCATATATTTTGTAAGTGTTGATTCATAAATCATCGTTGTAAAAAATCAATTCAATCCGAAACCATTTGCCTATTTAATTATCACAATAAAATTTATTGTTTCTTATAAAACAAAGTATTCCTTAATTTCTTTGATCTTAATTAGATATCTCAAACATTTCCGAATTAATTGATATTTTATAAGGATGATCTAAGAGGTGTAACTTAAAAAATAAACGATTCAAATTGTTAAAGTTTGATATGATGTGCGTCCAACAATTAATCGTTTTTATATAAAAATTGAAATATCCTCCTTTAAGGCCTCTTATATATATATATATATATATATATATGAGATTTTGAGGTTGATGCACTTAATTTAGAACTATTGATTTTACGTAAAGTGAAAAGGATGGCATAGATTTGTCTCTAGATTACGTATACATTTGACCTAATTAATTCTCTGTTTGAATTTTCTCGACTATGAAGTATTCAGTACCGTCATCAAAAGAGAAAAAAAAAAATCAACATACAATGAATTCTCTCTGCCAAATGTCTTTTTTCTAAGCACTCTAATAGAATAACTGGAAATATGGTCTGTCAAATGTCATTTTTCTTAGCCCTCTAATAGAATAACTGAAAATATGGTCTAATATGATTTCGTTTGGTAGCTCGGATTATATTGACTATTTTAATCGGATATGATAAATAATCATCGAATAATACTCACTAAATTAGTCGGGCATTTAATTCTATATCAAATTATTTTTACATCGAATAATAGGTCGAACTACAATAATTTCTAGAAAATTAAAAAACTATACCTGTTAAAATGAAAAAAAGAAGAAAATCAAAGAAACAGAAGAGAAACAAAAATTGATCATCATTACACCAAAAAAATTGAAAAAATAAACATTAAAAAAAGAAGGAAAGAAACCCAGGTTCTCTCAAAGGAGAGACTTTTCAATGTGACTAGGACATGAGGTGTTACACCACGTATCACTATATAAATGGTAGGATTTGTGTGTTAAAAAGTTAATAACTTAAAAAATAAAATTTCCCACTATTTATATAAAAACACGTGATGTACCACCATGTTCCCGTCACAATGAAAGTTTTCTACTCTCAAAGTCATCCTTTCTTCATCATCTTTCTCCCGCATCAAATCTCACCCTCCCATGCGAACCCACTTCCTCATTTCTTCAATCTCCCAAAACCCACCTTGATTCACCAACCAAAACAATACTACTAAATAAATTGAAGATATAAATTGATGAAGAAAAGACATCAATTTGCAAGGAAAAAGACAGATCAACTAATTTCAACATAGAGATCAGAAAGAGAGCGGAGAAATAGGAGGAAGACGAACCAAGTATAGCAGATGAAATTCGTGAGAAGGAAGAAGAACAAAGCACAACAAATGGAGTTTGCGATGAATAGGAAAAGTGAAAGGAAAAGGTGCATATTTGTAACCGTTTGATCAAAATCCAACAGCGCTTGTTGTTGGGTTAAAAGGATCCTGATCTCCTGCTTAGGAGAGGATCCGATTCCCGAAAAGAGAACGCAAATTAGCTTTAGCTTTTGAACCTGCTTAAATATCCTTAGCTTTTGGTGAGTATTAAATATTTAGCAGGTGTGAGCCGGACTAAATGAGTGGGCCCGAGATATTTAATCGGCTGCCTATTTACCAACGGGATCCTTTATGGATATTTTTGTGGGGATTTTGGGAATTCGTAAATCGTGTTTGTTCATTGTACATCATGCTGTTAGTTTTTGTCAGATACTGTTGTATTTAATTTTAAATAAAAATATTTAAAATGATTTTTGACCACATAATAAATGATGAACAAATATGATTCACGGATCCTCAGGATCCTCACAAAGAGGATTCGGCTATTTAATCCAAAACTGCACCAAACAAGTCTCCCGCACTATTATTCCTATCAGAAGTCTAATACAGCGTACTAAACGAGGCATATAAGTACACCTCTTGGAATTCCTTGACTAAAACCCATCATGGTAAATTTTACTGTCAAAAACTCAATGACTAACCTCCAACTAAGTAACATCTATAATTAAGTTTTTTTTTTTTTTTTTTTTTTTGTTGAAGGGGAGATTTTATTAAACAACCAACACACAAGGCCCAAGTACACTTATAAACAAACAAAAAAAGGGCCTAAGACTAAAGACAAACATAAAGAGAGCCCAACAAACAGTACGACCCAAAAAAATACACAGCAGTCGAGAAGCTTCCACTGTCATCTCCACCATCAGATTTCCAGTCAATCCAAACAATTCCCTGTCCACCACCGAGTATTGCCTCACCATACGCCACCTCTAACCCCGATATGCTACCTGAGCACAACCATAAACAAGGGATAGTCGGCAACAAAGCCAGAAAAGCTAACTACCAATACGAAACTTTGTGGAAACCCATGAGTGACACTGCTGGAACCGGTAGACAACAAAGAGAAAGTGGTGGTGTTGGAAACACCTGAGTGTAAACACCAAAACTCTACACACAATCTCAACAGGAAACATGGTTGCATATCGAACCAAGGAAGAGTCAGGAAGAGGAATAACCTTGGGGTAAAGGAATTGGACATACCAAGGTTAAAATTTGGGAGAAACAACAGTAGAGGCAAGGAAAAAGAAGGAAAAGGGAGAGAAGAGGACACGATAGCTGACCTCGGTCGAAGCTGGAGTCAGCGCCACCAGAAAATCTTAGGTGTAAAAGTCTCATACAAATAGTGAGAAAGACTTTCAGTTTCTGAGAGAAAGTCTCTCACCTTGGAGTGAAAGGAAAATTTCATATAGGATATCTATGATTAAGTTTGACTTGGCAAAATTTGCATCTTTGGATTTCCCAATTACGCCTAATAACATTGACTTTATATCCTTTACTTATTATCTATATTTATTCTACATTATTTCATTCAATTAAATGTTTTCAAATAGCATAGGGGTGTTTTCATATAGGTAATTAATTAAATACTGTAGACTAAATATAGATAATAAGTAACAAACTCATAGTCAATGTTATTAGGCGTAATTTGGACATCTAAAGATAAAAATTTTGCCAAGTCAAACTTAATTACGGATATTGTTTTGTTGAAGCCTAGTCACTGGGTTTTTGTTAGGAAAATTTACCATGATGAGTTTTAGTGAAAGAAAATTGAATTCCAAAAAATGTACTCATATTTTCAGTTAGGGATGTTTTCATATGGGTGTTAGGGGTGTTTTCATAACTAAAAATTGTACTTTTATTTTTTCATATACATTTTATGATTTGCTAAATTGTATATAAAAAATAAAAGTACAATTTCCTATTTATAAACGAAGAAGAATATCGTATTTGTAGCAAAATCATAACTGAAAATTTGTCTACAAAATATTTTGTAAAGTTATGATTTTGGGTCTTGCTAATCCTAGGCCCATGGATGTTGAAGTAATAACCTTTGTTGGGTCTGGGCTTAGCACCACAACCTGGTTTTATTTTGTTTTATTTTTAGCATTATTCTTTAAATAAAAATGTAGAAACTTCATGAACGAACTCGCGTCCAGGTTCAATGAACCGTGACACTCGTCAACTGTTTCCCTTACCCCATCTTAATGCTTTTCCTGTGCCCTCCACGCCAACACATTACAGACCCTCTCTCTCTCTCTCTCTCTCTCTCTCTCTAAGCATTCAAATTTCTCTCATGGCTTTCGTAGCTACGTCTCCTTCTACCCAATCATTGCTTCACGCTTCGCTATCTTCCCACGAGCCCAAAGGTAATTCTCTCTCCCTCCTATAATTTTTTTTTCCATTGTTTTGTTGAGTTATTTATTTATATTTATTATTGTTTGCAATGTATGCGGTTCTTGATAATGGGCTGTCTGAGCTAACTCTGATCTCATCGACTTCACTTGTTGGTTATGAAATTTGAGTTAAATTGGTGCTCATGATCATGCAATGAGAAATGTGAATACCCAAATGATAAATTTGTTTAATTATTTATTTAAATTTTGATTCTTTGGGATTGAATTCTTAGAAATTAAGGTTAATTTTTCTGGGTTTTGTGTAATTTTCTTCTCTACTCTGCAATTTGTTTACTTGAATTTGAATGGGATTTAATGCATTTTTTAATTTGTTATTTCAAACCCATTAGCTCAATGGACATCTTCTGTGAATCCGTCGGATCAATTTTCGTTTGCATCGACGGCTGTGGCCTCTTTCCAGAGACCATCATTGGCAAAACCCCTTTCTGTAGAATCGAAAAGGAGCAAATCAGTTGTTCCGCTTGCTGCAAAAATGGCATCTCCAGGTATACATGTGTGAACTTGTAACTGTTGTATCATTGTGAGAAGCTTGAAATTAATCTTTTCGTTTTCTCCTTGGGCGAGGACGTGAAGGAATTGCTGTGTAAATTGATTGTCGGAATTATTGTAGATGTTGACAACAATGTGGTAGGAGAAGATTACGAAAAACTGGCAAAAGAGTTGGAAAACGCTTCCCCACTTCAAATCATGAAGAAGGCTCTTGACAAATTTGGGAATGACATTGCCATTGCTTTCAGGTAAATCCACTTTAGTACTAATTTCTTGTTTCTGGTAAATGAATTAAATTACTAAAAACTGAAGCGCGCTCAGTGTGGGGCTCGAACCCACCAACTGAACTAGACGGGCTTGTTACCTGTAATACTATTTTACAGAGTATTTTATGGAATCTTTTCCATCTTACTTTTGAGGTTTTCAAAACGAAAGGGAATTAAACTTTTTCGTAAGTAAATCAGGACAAGCGGCTAAGAAAATATTTCAATGCATAGGTAACAATTAGCGGTAACAATTTCTAGAGGTTTACCTGAGTTTATTTCATTTAGGATGACAGAAATTAAGTTTAGTTAATGTTCATTTGTGCAGCGGAGCTGAGGACGTCGCCTTGATCGAGTATGCCAAACTAACAGGTCGGCCCTTCAGGGTATTCAGCCTGGATACTGGGAGGCTTAACCCAGAGACGTACCAGTTTTTTGACACTGTTGAGAAGCACTATGGCATTCACATTGAATACATGTTTCCTGATGCTGTTGAAGTTCAAGCACTGGTGCGAGGCAAAGGACTGTTCTCATTCTATGAAGACGGCCACCAGGAGTGCTGCAGGGTAAGGAAGGTTAGGCCTTTAAGGCGAGCCCTTAAGGGTCTTCGTGCCTGGATCACTGGGCAGAGAAAAGACCAGTCTCCTGGCACAAGAGCTGAAATTCCGGTTGTCCAGGTGGACCCATCGTTTGAAGGTATTGATGGTGGAATTGGCAGCTTGGTGAAATGGAATCCTGTTGCCAACGTGGAAGGCCATGACATATGGAACTTCCTCCAAGTCATGAATGTACCTGTCAATCCTTTGCACTCGCAAGGATACATTTCAATCGGGTGCGAGCCATGCACAAGGCCGGTGCTGCCAGGGCAGCATGAAAGGGAGGGAAGATGGTGGTGGGAGGATGCTAAGGCAAAGGAATGTGGCCTCCATAACGGAAATATCAAAGAAAAAGAGGCGCTGCACCTCAATGGCAATGGGAATGGGATCTCAACAACAAATGGGAGTGCTAATGTCCCAGACATCTTTAACAGCAAGAACTTGGTTTCCTTGAGCAGGACTGGGATAGAGAACTTGGCTAGACTGGAAAACCGAAGTGAACCTTGGCTTGTTGTGCTTTATGCACCATGGTGCCGTTTCTGCCAGGTGAATACTATTCACAATTTATTAACATGGTTGCCTTGTAAAGCCGAAAATGTGTTGAGTTTGATTGATCTAACTTGCTTCGTTTCTCGATTGTTTGCAGGCAATGGAAGGATCATATGTTGAATTAGCAGAGAATCTGGCAGGAACTGGGGTGAAGGTAGGTAAGTTCAGAGCTGATGGGGAACAGAAGAAATATGCAAAGCAAGAACTGAAGCTGGGGAGCTTTCCAACAATACTCTTCTTCCCCAAGCACTTGTCAAAGCCCGTCAAGTATCCATCAGAGAATAGGGATGTAGCGTCGTTGTTGGCCTTTGTGAATGCTCTCCGGTGAGAACTCGATGCACCTGATAACTGTTTCGGGAAAGCAACGGCACAAGAAACTGTTCTTGTTAGTCTTAGACAACTTAGGCAGAGTAGGCATGTAGTGTAAATATGGTGGTAAGATCTCTGCTGCATGTTTTGCTGAATAAAAAGGGGCTTCATCTTTTGTGAAACCATCCTTTTGGAGCTGACCAGTGGATTCCATCTTCTACCTATTCCCCCCAAAGTTGCAGTCGATGAACTTAAAGCCTTAACACTATAAACCTAAGGAAAGAAGTAAATTTTAATATGCAGTACTCCGCCGATTTAGTTGCTAAATTATTACGCCCAGTGAAATTAAGTTCTTAAACTATATTTTTTAGAAAATTAAGTCCTTAAAATGTATTAAAAACTGCTTATTTCATCATTGCTATAATATTAGAAGCTATTCTATTTTGTTTATTTAAGTCGCCTGAATTGCACGTGACATGTTTTAAAGGATTCTACAATTATTTTCTTGGTCATAGGCTCTTATCGTTGTATATAGGTTAGCGAATCTATTTGACAATTTATTCTTTAAAGTTGACTTCATACACTATTTATTGAAGAAAAAAATTAGTTAGTAAACTCATTAAAAACTGCCGAATTATTTTCCAAAGTGTATCACATACAAGTTAGTTACTTATGGTAGAGGTGAAGCTGACAATTAAAGGGGGGAAATTAGGAACTTAATTTTTGGTCGAATAATATTTCAGGACGAAACCGACACATTACTCTTTAATATGTGAAAGCCTCTTGGGTCTTGGCAGATCAAGAGTGAGCGTTTCAAATGAAATCACAATTGAAAGCATCCACTATATTGGATTCTGACTATTTATTTTTTATTTGTTTTATTTTTTTAAGTGGGAGGTCTGTGAAGTAGATCATACGAAAGTAGAAAAAGTTTATGATTTTGATGAAATGGAAACATCTCTTTTTCATTTCTCTTTACCTAGTTCATATGTTTGTTTTGTGTGTTCCGGCAAGGAATAACTCAGGATATCTAAATAATTGTTTTGTGTGTTCCGGCAAGAAATAACTCGGGATATCTAAATAACTACGGTCAAATAGCAACTGATACAAACATACACATTTCAAGCTAAACTCAAATTGTTTTTAGTGATGATCCCCTTACCTACATAGCCATTCTTGCAAATTCGGGCGTTGGGTAGACCAAGGGGAGAGGAAGCACCAATCAATATGGATCCACTTCATTCTTTTTGTAATGACGATTCATTCTACTCTTCTCTTAATGAGGAAATTCCAATCGTTGCTGAGTTAATAGAGTGTTTTTTTTTGTTTGTACTACAAATTATTTTTATTGATCCAAGTCATAAAGGAACCACTAGTGCTGATTCATGAGAAACAGTATATCCGATTGTTCGCATTTTCTATCTAAAAGCCTAACATATAGACATTAACCTCTTGTCACACGCCTATGCGTATGGTACTTAGCTCACTTTCTATTTGAACGCCTAACATATAGACACTAGCTAGTCTCTTGCCACATGCTCACACGTGTGGTAATTAGCTCTTTATTACTGTTTTTGTCTTAATTTTACTTATTTTAGATATTATTATTTTGTATTAATATTTCAAAAAATAATAAATTTACTAACCACCCTACATGGTTTTTTCTGTAAATTTATTTTTTGAAATCTTAGGGGAAGAAGGACAATTGAGTATCATGAAAGCTTCACCTTTTTATATCTTTTCCTTTTGTATATATATAGATAACCTGTATTCCGGTCAATGCAAACAAAGGAGCACTCAAACAAATGAAGGAGCACACATAGCACACTGTATTAGAATGCAAGCTGGATTGGAATTTTCGATTTTGCCATTAAAGTTTTTGTTTGAGAATTTTTGAATGGAGGTAATTTTCACATACCTTTTAGCTTCTCACACACTTTTCTTTACTTATAATCATCAGATTAAACAAATCAAGCGAAATCAAGGATCAAGATTTAATAGGAGTGTGTAACAAGTTAAAATGAACGTGTGAAATTACTTCTCTTTTCTAAAAGATTAAGTGAAAATTAAAACACATGGAGATTTCGAAAATTCTAAATTTCAGAAAACTAAAGAATCACACAAGAACTAGTGTGGGTCTGGATGCTTGCATTGCGTGTGAAGATAAAATCCTCTTCTTATTTATTCCAAATTTTTGGGTAGCCATCCCAAAGTTGATGAGCTTTGAATTTTTTTTCCTTGATGTGGCGTGCCGTTGAATTTTCTCAAAGATTGGTCGACAGAGACAAGTTAGCATGCACCAATACGCGCGCGAGCGCCACACACACATGTATGTATAAAACGAGGACTCACGATCGACAACAAATAGTATATAATCACCCAAAATCTTGTTTGGTTAGAATTCTCTCCCTTCCTAATCTCTCTTTCCTTTTATCTCATTTTATTTAAACGGTTGCGATTACGTCGCGTCTACATCTTGTTTTGAATTTTTTTATATAAAGAATAAAATAAAAAGAAGAGTATTAGAAGAGGGGATGAAAATTGGTGATAATAAAAAAGAAGAGAATCCTATTCCGTTTTGTTAAGCATCCACATGGCAGTGCATTGCTAATTAATAATATATCAATCGTTAAATGAGATCGAACCACGTATAAGCCTTATCGAAGCGCAATGTAGGTAGATTAGAAGACCAAGTGTCACAAAACAGTTCCATCGTCATTTACATATAGAATAGACATTGCAGAGGACGCATGAATTATGGTCCCACTTGTTACGTGACTCATACAAATAACAATATACATTCCTCACAAGTGTATTTTTCTCTCTAATTATAGAATGCTTGGAGTGCCAAATGAAATTTTTGGAGTGCTAATAATAATTCATTTTTATTATAAGACATAGACTTACATGAAACGATGTTTTCCGCTAGTTAATTCTCTTTAATGAGGGGGCTTGTTGCTGTTGTGCTTAATTTATTTGAGTGATTACTCTCTTTTATAAAATCATAAGGGATTTTAATTATAATGCTTTCAATGGAAGCACTTTTGTTAGAAGAGTGTTGAAACTTTTATTAAAAATAGAAGAAAAGCACTTGAAAATACTTTTTGAAGTGGTGTTTCTTTGAAAAAACAACATAACCTAACTACTTTGTAACTTATAAACACTTGTAACTTTTTCTTTCAAACGTTGTGAGAAGTACTTTTGAACATCTAAAAGACTTCTAAAAGAACTTCCAAACATACAAATGTTGCACTGCTGAAAACTACTCAACATGGACAATTCTTATTCTATATAGGGTTAACTCTTCAATATTTCGAACTATTAGATAGTCTGACTTTATATCCATTAGATTAGGAAGTAAGCAAAAATAATATTTCCTCAATTCAATTTTGTCCGTTCATTTCTCGTACTACTAAATAATTTGGACTATTGAATAATAATTGTTCTATATTGTTGGCCCTAAACCCTATACATATCTAGGATAAATATAGGTTTGGTACCCTATGAAATTTAACAATGTTCTTGCTTTATCAATACCAAACTCGTAGGATGGCTTCGACAATGTAGCACACCTTTTTTTTTTTTTTTTAAAAGATGCATCTCCCTTTAGACGGTTTGGAAAAACATGCATATCAAGCATATGTTAAAGATAACTTTAATGAAAAGCTTTCGGTACTGTTCATTTTAACGAAAAATTACATTTTTACACTAAAAAGTCAATCTTGATACTATTCACTAACTTTACCATTTATTTTGTATTTATCGTTAAAACTCAAAGTTTTTAATCCCTTTTTATTAGTTTTCTTTATGTTAAATGCCCTTTGCTAGGGCAATAATGTAATAGAGGATACATGATACGTGCTATGAAAATATTTGGAAAATGATTTTGTGTAATTTTTTTTTAACAAACGATATTATCTATATTAAGAGGAAGGGGGTGGCCTAACCCTTACAAATAGGCAGCAATAATGTGGTTTAAATTCGTCTTTGGCGAAAATCAAACCTAATACCTCTCACTTACAAGTGAAAGAATATTACTAAACTGTAGTACTAAGTGACTGATTTTGGGTAATTAAGAATATACAAATTTAAAAGGGAAAAAGAGAAGAAGAAAAAAAAGGGTCGATAAGATATATGTTTTTGCAGGTTCGTCTCAACCAAATATAAAAGCAAACTACATTTATAGCTTTCATCCCGAATAGGGAATATGGGATGCCATTTCATTTGACGAGTAGCTAGAGGTTGCTTCAATGAGACTTTAAAATCCCACCAAACTTCGGATTTGGATCCTTTCCTGAGCTTAGGAGGCTGAGCTTCCTAAGCAAATCACACGAGTTGTTATATTTTGATCCAATGGTTACAATTATTATAATTTTTAGAAGGACCTCCTGTTTGTAGTCGTTAGATCAAAATCTAACAGTCCGTGTGATTTACTTAGGAGGTCCTCCTAAGCTCAGGAGAGGATCCAAATCCCCAAACTTCATTGGCAAACGCAACTTATAATGGAGATGTATTACTCTATACCAGGACGTTATATTAACGTTGAATCTGTTATATGTAAATTGTTAGGGAACTGTTATTAGCACTCTAATAATCTTATTTTACAATTCTTATATGTCTATTTTTCTTTTTAATTATAGAAATTTGAAGTGCAAAATAAGATTTTAGGATTGTCAATAACAATTCCTAATTGTTATACTATAATGAAAATTTTGTATCTTAGTGGAGCCAAGATAACCAGTCAATGAAAACCGATTAGATATGGGTTTCTATTTTATCTACATCTTAGTGAAGCCAAAGATATGCGAATGGGTAAATTAATTTTTGACTAAAATATATTATAAATCCAAAGTCAAAATGTGATTAGAAGCATTTTAGACATCTAAAAAAACAAATTAGATGTTAAACTTAATTAATGAATTTGTTGAACAAACGAGTTAGTGGTTGAGGAGTGGGAACTTAATTAATGATTTGCTTAATTGGAGCTAGTTATTGGTTTTTTTTTTAGAGAAAAATTAGCATATGCCCAGTGTGTGTGAACATTTTATTTTTGTTTTTAAAATAGGAAGGAGAGAAAGAGAACGTGGGGCCAATAGGATCCTCTCATGATACTTTAGATGAGGATGTTGAGGATTCGTAAATCGTATTCATTCATCATACATTATGCAGTTAATTTTTGTCAGGTACTCTTTTTATTTAATTTTAAATAAAATTATTTAAAATAATTTTTGACTACATGATGGACGATGAACGTATATGATTTACGGATCATCGGGATCCTCACAAAGAGGATTCGGTGAAAATTCAGATTCACTGTGGGGGAAGGGGGGGTGAGGACTGGGAAGAGAGGTTTTTGCTTTTTATTTTATATTTTTTTAATATTAGATTTATTTTAAAATCACCTGTAGGTAAGATTTCAATAAAAAATAACAAAATTTGGTTTTGTAAAATTACATTATTACCCATTATTTTTTTTTTGTGATAAAAGACTAAATAATTTTTTTACTCTTTCTTGGTTGACAAAAATGATTTTATTAATTTGTAGTTTAGATATGTTAAAATCACATGTAGGTGAGGTTTTAATAAAAAAACAAAATCTGGTTTTGTTGCCTATCATTTTTTTGCTGTGAAAGAAGACTAAATAATATTTTCATAATCTTTTGGTTGACTAAGAGAGTTTTTAAATAAAGAAAATTAAATTACAAAAGTAAATTCATATTTCAGTTATATATATAGAAATAGGATCCTATCCAGATCTTCTTTGTGAAGATCTTGAGAATCACTTCATCTTGTTCATATGTTATCCTGCTGTTATAAATTATTTTAAATATTTTACTTAAAATTGAATAAAAAAATATCTGACAAAATCTAATTCAATAAATAGACAGAATAAAGTAATATTCGGAATCTTCACGGGAATTCTCATCCATATGTATAGACTTTAATTTCATAAACGGACATGTACACCTCATTTACTGATGCTCTTTATGTACAAACCAAACTCCTCACCTCCTTACACGTGATATATTTACCAGTGTAATGTAATGGGGGAGGGCAGTGTGAATGTGAGAGCAGCAGTTACAACCATGGCTTCCAGACTTTTCCTTCTCATGAGTCTGATCATCTCCTTTCTCTTCTCTCCCTCCAACCTTCTGGGATTCACTGTCACGGAGGCGCGTGTAGTTCCGGCCATGTATGTTTTCGGGGACTCGTTGGTAGATGTGGGCAACAACAATTACCTCCAGTTTTCTCTTGCCAAAGCAAACTTTCCTCACAATGGCCTCGACTTTCCGACCAAACAGCCAACCGGCAGATTTTGTAACGGCAAGAATGCTGCAGATCTTCTCGGTAAGTTTGTAATCTTAATTTGTTACGGCTTGTTACTAGGAAAATATCAGCTTTCATTTCCTTGCTAAATTGCAAGTTTTTGGTTATAGTTGTTAAACATTTAGCATGCAACTTCATCAGACTGTCAATTTATATCTCACTATTTGGATTGATGGTTCAGATTCACAGTCTAATAACATAGTATTCTAAATTGCTTCACAACAGAATTTATATGTAGTGATGTACCTTGTTGTTATGTGTGTCCGGGATTTCTTCGTGTGTAGGCAATGCTGCTACTTTTTCAAGGAAAGAAATCGTAGAAAGTATATGAATTTGAGACTTCCTAGTCCAGTCTTTCCAGTGCCATAAAAATCACAGGATATCTAGTATACTCGGAGTATCCTATATTCTGAATGTTTTAATCGTTAGATCATATATTTTTTATGTGACAGTTTCTGGGTTTCCTGGTTGAGCAGACTCTCGAGCTGGTTACTGAACAATGAAACGGCATCCGAAAGCTCAAAAGGCCCTTCAAAATAGCAGTTAGATAATAAATGCTCTTCTCACATTATTAGCCGTAGAAGCAATTAGTAGTTGGTTGATAAGGTGTAGAAGTTAGTTCAAACTAAATTTGGAGAAAAACTTGTGTGGGGCTTTACTTGCCACTGGATTTTGTTGAGTGGCACTACAATCCAATCAAAACTCACCACGTGTCAAGTCTTAAATATTATCTTTTATTATTTTTCTTTAATGTTTAAAACTTTCATAATTATATTTCCTATTAATTGATATAAGATTAATTTAAGATTTCAATTTTCCTCTGATCTCCTCTGTCTTCCCTTTTTCTTCTCAAATTTTCTCTCTGCCAGTGCCGGCTTCTTCCCCACTCTGTGCGTTTCCATCCTTCATAAGAATAATGGGAAAAAAAATTAAACCTTCTTCTCCATCTATAACGAAATAAAACTGTGATATATATATATATTCTAACACAGGCTTGATGTTTAACAAAATTTGTCTGTTCCTTTTTTTTCTTTTTTTTTTTCCTCTTCTCATTCTCTCTTATTTTTCTTCCCCAGTTTTCTCTGCCGTGTGCAGTCTTCTTCCCCCTCTTTATTTCCTTTCTCCATAAGAATATGGGGCAAAAACAAAGTCATCTTCTCCAACTATCATGAAATGAAAAAAAAAAAAAAAATTATTTTTTTTTAAATTTTTTTTTACAAAAGCTGTTTATTAATTTTTTTTTTTTTTCAATTATAAGCACAATTTCATTGCCCAACAGCTCGTCCTGTTTTATATATCTCTGAGTTGTAATTTGCGTGTTTATGTTTCTCCTATAAAGGAATAGAATATTTTGTAGCAAACTCTAAATACAATCTTGCATACTCACTCCATACCATCGAGTTGATCTTTTCACAATTTATTGGTTATCCCTCACTTTATTTTGGTTGAAGTACAACTATTTTGGTTGATTATCCATCTTTAACATGATGGTAGAAGTGGGAGAGAGAAGAAACTGAAGACTTCTACGGCAAAACATAAAAGTACCAAAAGGGAAAATTTGGGAAGAAAAAGAGAGAGGGGGAGAAGAAAAATATACATCAAATTAATCTCATGATGTATATTAATTAGTAGGAAAAATAATTATGAGAATTTTAAATATAAAAGAATGATAAAAGATAATATTTAAGACTTGCCATGTTGCAAGTTTTGATTGGATTATAGTGTCACTCAGCAAAATTCAGTGGCAAGTAAAGCCCCACACAAGTTTTTCTCCTAAATTTGAGAGTGCATATATATTTTTGCCACACCTTCACTTTTAATATAGTAGTTGGTTTCTTACCAGGAACAAGTCATCTCTTTCTAATGTAATATAGTTGCACAGTGTTATTAGCCTATGTTTTATAATTTGGTTGATGACATGGATATAGATAGGGTATTGTATTGATAAATAAAACACGTCTAGTTTTCTTTTTGTTTCTAATGCATTATTTTGAAACGTGTCTAGTTTCAACCTAGCACTCAAGAATTTTCAACCTAGCACAATCGCAGTTTGAAACATGTCTTGTTTTCTTTTTGTTTCTAATGCATTATTTTTGTATTATGTGTATTAACAATACATTATTATGATAATATTATTTAATTTTAAAATGTTGGCAGCTGAGAAAATGGGCTTACCTACCATACCACCATATCTTTCTATGGCATCTAAATTGAACAAGAGCTATAACCTCTTCCTAAATGGTGTGAACTTTGCTTCTGGAGCTGCTAAAATCTTCAAAGAGGATCAACAATATGTAAGTCAAAACACAGCTTTATATGTATAGACACACAGACACACAGACACACACACACACACACACACACACACACACTAAATTGTTGATAATATTAAATCAGTTTAATTATTTTTCTTTGTCTGATCAGCCCCAGTCAATATCTTTGGGAGAACAAGTAGATTATTATTTGTCAGTGAAGGAAGGCCTTGGGCAACAGATAGGAACCTTCAAAGCACAAAAGCATCTATCAAAATCTCTCTTCACCATTATCATTGGAAGCAATGACATCTACACCTACTTTGACTCCTCCACCAGTAATAGGAGCACACCTCAGCAATATGTTAACTCCATGGTTCTCACACTTAAACAACAAGTGAAGGTAATTAACACAATAATTCCTTCAATATCAACGCCTAATATTATCACATTTATCTTAATTTAATTGTCTTTTTGCAGCGTTTATACGATTATGGCGCTCGTAAATTTGTCATCGTTGGAATTGCGCTTATCGGGTGCACCCCGTCAGAAAGAAATGAGCGATCCGATCAAGAATGCAAAGCTGACGTTAATCAGTTGTCAGCTAAGTACAATAAAGTTCTTATATCAATGTTGAAGAAATTGAAATCGGAGCTCAAGGGCATAAACTACTCCTACTTTGATGGTTACAGCGTCATGCACAACTTCATTCAGAATCCAACAGCTTACGGTAATTGAAATTCCATAAAATATTTTCCTTCTTGTGCACGTTATATCAAATTCAATTGATTGGATAAAGTTTTCTTGCCAGACCAGATGATGTATTGTCAAATAAGAATCCGCATCAAAATTAACAGTTCGAAAAGAAAAATATCTTACTGTCTTAATCAGTAATTACATTAATTTATTCAGGATTTGCTGAGGTTAAAGCTGCTTGCTGTGGTCTTGGGAAGCTTAATGCGGATGCTCCATGCCTACCTTTCGCAACGTACTGCAGCAACAGAAGCAACCATCTCTTCTGGGACAGAACTCATCCAACAGAGGCAGCACATCGCATCTTTGTGGATTATATTCTTTCTGGTCCTTTACAATACACCTTCCCAATCAACGTGAAAAAGCTAGTTTCCATTTAATTTATTAATATGGTTGACATGTATGCATCGCACTTAAGTAATTCCTTATCACCAGTCGTAACTTCTAATACAAGTATGTGATTATCTCTCTAGGGTACTAAGATGCATGCACACGTACAAGTATACTACATGGAAGAATAGTTTTATCTTTCAATTATGTTATTGGTAGCAAGTTTAAGGTGTGTTTGGTATTCTATTAAAAAACTTTGATTGTCCCTAAAATCATTTTTCAAGTACATCTCTTAAGAATAATTTTGGTTTTAAATCTCAAAATTTTGAACACTTGTTTGGTTAAATTTGTGAAAATAATATTTCTTTGGTTGAATTCAAACTAGCGTGGGCACGAACGCCTTGGCAACGGAGAGGAAACAGACTTAGACCGATTCTTCTATGCAATAGCCGTGTCAGTGGAGCTTCTCCTTCAACATTGTGTCAAAATCGAGGCGACTTCCACCGATGAGTTGATGGGATTGTTCAGAGGAACAGTCTTGTGGAGTCTGAACCTGATAATAATGAGAAGAGAGGCAGAAATTGGACGAGAGAGAGAGAGCAAAGAAAAGAAAAAGATGGCGAGCAGAGAAAGATAAGAGACAATGAGAGATGATAATATGGAGAAAGGAGAGCCTTGATTGAGTTAAAATCTTTAAAAACTCATATTTTACAAACAATGATTTTCAAATTGAAAATTAACTTCATGATGAGCAACATTATTAGCCATTTTATGACCAAGTTCTTTTTCCTTTTCACTTTGTTTTCTGATTGCAGACTTGAAGTTCTGTAATAAGAGTTTATGTTGCTTCTGAGTAACTCAGGTACCGTTTGGTACGTGGGATGGGACAGAACAGAGTGGGACAAGACGTTCCGTCCCACGTTTGGTGAGCCTAAAATGGGTGGAACGAGCTGTTCCACGGGACGAGTTTTGGGTGAATTTTCGTTCCACCTCACCCCCCTAGAACGACTCGTTCCACATCCGTGGAACACAAAATTATAACCTCTCCGTCTCCTTCTTCTTCCTCCTTGTTTCCATCCGAGGGCATCTTTGCTCCCGCTCCGTTCCGTTCCGTCCTGTCCCGTCCAGTCCCATTCCGTTCCGTCCCGTCCCGTCCCGTCTGCATACCAAACGATACCTCAACTCACCTCCCACATATATATATCGTGTGACAAGGTCTATTTGCAAAATATCCTACTAAGCAGAGCTAGAAAAATATTAACCTACCATAATGGTTGGTGCTTGTGTTTATTTACCACAAATACTCGTGCAAATTTTATAGGAAAATTCATTATCAAGGCATGTCCCATGATTAATGTGGCTTAGACAAACAATAAAAAGGAGACCATTGGATTGGCTTTTTGGATTTTGTTGTTTTTTGCTCAGTAAATAATGTATTTTAATATGAAACTATATAAAATGACTTGTAGATTAAAGAGTTAAATGAATATATGAAAATAAACGGAAGAAATTGAGTAATCAAGTTGAACTACCACATAATGAATGAAAATAGTCTTTATTGTGTCACTGATTTTCTTTTTTCAAATAAAATATCAAGTTTGAATCTTTTGATTGTATTTGTGAGAATATGAAGGACACAATTCTGTATCGGTGGTTGACCAAATTTTGCAAGAGCTTATAAGTAATTGGGCTACTTTTTATATTGTCAACTAGTTGCAACCTCAACTTTGTATGGTAATAGGGGTGTTTTTATCACATAAAGGAATTATGAAGATTATGTTGTAAATACAAGGCTTATTTACACTGTGTCACATCCCGGCCCATGCCCCCACCACATCCCGGACTCGACTTTACCGTAGCACAATATTGTCCGCTTTGGGCCCCTACCACACCCTCACGGTTTTGTTTCTGGGAACTCACACTAGAACTTTCCAGTGGGTCACCCATCCTGGGATTGCTCTCGTGCGAACTCGCTTAACTTCGGAGTTCTTACGGAACCCGAAGCCAGTGAGCTCCCAAAAGGCCTCATGCTAGGTAGAGATGGGAATATACATATAAGGCTTACATGATGCATTTCCCTGAGTGATGTGGGATGTACAATCCACCCCCCCTTAAGGGCCCGACGTCCTCGTCGGTACACTTCCGGTCAGGGATTGGCACTGATACCAAATTGACACATCTTGGCTCGGGCCCCCACCACATCCCGAGCTCGACTCCACCGTAGCATGGTATTGTCCGCTTTGGGCCCCTACCACACCCTCACGGTTTTGTTTATGAGAACTCACACGAGAACTTTCCAGTGGGTCACCCATCATGAGATTGCTTTCACACGCACTCGTTTAACTTCGGAGTTCCGATGGAACCCGAATCTAGTGAGCTCCCAAAAGGCCTCATGCTAGGTAGAGATGAGAATATACATATAAGGCTTACATGATCCACTCCCCTAGACGATGTGGGATGTTACACATTGTCTCCTAAAACTCAACTTATTCTTGTTTTGCCCCCTGAAACTCAAAAAGTCACACTCAATCCCTTGAATGTCAGCTTTCTGTCTCACTTGATTATCCCCTTCTATTGACTCAGTAAAAAAATATGTTAAAATTTTTTGACATGGCAAAGGTGTGGACCAGTAATTCGCAGAGTTGTAGCCGTGTCACTGCCACATGTACAATGTTAATTCAACTTGACACTCAAGAGGTTAAGTGAGACATTTAAAGTTCCAAAGAACAAAATAAGATTAAATTGAGTATCAGAAGACGACGATGTAAATAAGCCTAAATACAATTAAAAGGACCATTTTCTAGCCCAAAATAAAAAACCACAACTAGAATAATAAGTGTGGGTTTCATACACGACACTAGAATCTAGATATATTAACACCAAGAGGCCCAACCAACAAGCCAATCTTTGGATTATGAACATCTAGAGAAAAAGAATGGATTCACCTATTTACATGATTTGCCTCCTTTTTTTTGGAGGTTGTTGGGGTTGACTAGAGGATCCTGTCCGGAACTCCACGTGCTTCATGCCAAGGCAGATCTTGGGATGATAGACGAGATGTATTCATGTGCAACACCAAAAACTTTGTCGTATCAGCCTATCCTATTTTAACAACAGTTTTTATCATAAATGGTCCCTTAGATTTATCAAACTCATCATTTTGGTCCATCACTTTCAAAATCAATCAATGTCATCCCTGACATTCACTTTTCCACATAAATTTGGTCATTTCGTTAAGATTCCGTTAACTACTCAGTTAATTTGTATGTGGGACCCACAAATCCAATGAAATTGTGACTTGTGGATTTACACAAAATAAGGGTTTTATGACAAATTGTCCCTAACATTGATCCAACTCCTCATTTTGGTCCATGAGTTTCAAAAATTGATAAATATGGTCTCTAACTTTCACTACGCACATCAATGTACTCATTCCGTTAGAATTTCATCCATATTTTTCGTTTGTGTGCTGATGTGGTCCCATTAATCCAATCATATGGCTCCATGTGGATTAAGTATAAGAAACTATTATTTTTAAGAGTGAACCAATGAACTAGTATTCTGCTCTGGTATTTTTCTCGCATCTCACAACCCCAATTTGAAAAAAAATTCATTCTAAATTCAATAAAACCGAATCCAAATTCAACTCAAATTTGATAGGATTATAATCGACTAGAGAGAATGAGGAGTGAGTTCAGGAGGCTAAATACTCTAGTGGTGTGTGCTTTCCTTTTCTTTTTGAGCATACCCTGATGAAAACGACGATGACTTTTTTTCTTTTATTTTTGATTTTTAGTTTCTTATTTCACTTTTAGTTTTAAATCTTAAAAAAAAAAAATGTTTCTTGTAGTTAATCCACGTGGCACCATATGCTTAGATTAATGGGACAAAAATATTGATGAAACTTTAACAGAATGATTAAATTGACGTGCAGGTATTGAAAGTCAGGGATCAAATTTATCTATTTTTGAAACTCAAGGACCAAAGTGAGGAGTTGGATCAATGTCAAGGACCATTTGCGATAAAAACCCTTATTTTGTGTAATCCATGTGTCACCATTTCATTGAATTTGTGGGTTCCCCATACAAACTAACAGAATAGTTGACGGAATCTTAACGGAATGACCAAATTGGTGTGCTGTAGTGAATGTTAGAGACGACATTGATTGATTTTGAAAGTGAGAGACCAAAATAATGAATTTGATTAATCTCAGGAACCATTTGTGATAAAAACCCTTTTAACAATTTTGAAATAAGTAAAATGTGGATTGACAAAGTAAGGGGTGGACTAGATCTCACGATGATTAAGATTTTTTTGGTCAAGCCATTGTGTCAGTCAAACCCTCCTCACTTGTGGTGAGAATTCAAGACTAACACTTTGTTCCTTCTTTATCTCTCGTCCAGTGAGAGCTATTCTCACCTCCGGTGTGAGTGCCTTTCGTTTTCGACTCTTTGCTTCGCCACCGGCCTTAGCTATGGCCAAGGTCGGTGGCAATTCTTGGTTTTCCTTCTGTTTGCTTTTTTTCCCTTGTGCTTACTGTTTTTGGGCGAAAGCCCTGCCCAATTTTCATTCCCGTACCAACCTACCCTTCAAGCTCTCTTCGTTCTGCCACTTTTTGTGCCTATAATTTCACCATCTTGACCCCAGAATCCAGATCACCCGTTTCTTCCATCTCATTCGATCCTTTTCTCTCTACCATCTTCAACAATAGGCTATGTTATTTTTCCACAAATCCTCACTTCGATTCGGCTTCCTTTTACCACGATTTGTCGCGTTTCTACGGGAGGGTATGTACAGCTTTGGTTTGGGTGTTCGCACCACCACCCTTGCTGGCGTTATCACTCGTGAGATCTTTGTTCCCACGAGCTTCCTCTGTTCCTTGGCGTGGATCGTTTTGGTGGTGTGTGGAAGATGGTGTGGGCTTTTTCTTCCTCAAGTGTAGGATTCAGGATGGTGAGATGGCAGGCGCTGGTGCTAGGCGTTGGCTTCAGTTTGACATGTGGAATTTTGACGGCGGGTGGAGAAGCTACATTAGCTGTTTTTGCTTAGGTTTTTTTGTTTTGTGGCTTGTGTGTACTGGGCTACTTTGTTTACTTTGGGCTTGGTTAGGTGTGTTTTGGCCTTTGTTGTGTGTGTTTATGG